CAAAGGGGCATAAGCACATGGTGCAGATGAATTGCTTTCTTGCAAATAAGCTGGCTGGGAAAGCAATCTCCATTGTTGGTCCAGATTTTCTTCTTGCAACACCTGCTTAAATCACACTGAAACACATTCAAGTCAAAGGCCTTTTACATCTTGGGAGATAAAACTGTTGGCAGGGTCATTTGAAAAAAGAAAGAAAGAGAACAAGTTGTGAAGCAAGAGCATCTCTGTAGGTCTGCTATACGTTCTCTCTTGATGTCGTTTTGCTGTAATAGAAACCCGTAACAAATCATTGTCTGGCATCATGGGCGCTTGATGAATAACTGGAGATGAACTCCCAGCGGATTAATGCAGCGGCTGCTCCGTGCCAAGGAGCTTTAATCAAAGGAAGGGAGCCAAAATTAAAGGATGTGAGCCTTCTCCTAGCCCTATTATTTGCTGTAATTCTTTAAACACTCTACTCCCCACCATGCAAATGTTTAACATTCATGAGGCCACAGGCAGTGAGTTCAGCTGCCACATCTATGTGGGTTAGACCTTTAAAGGAAAAGGCAGCATTTGGATACCTTGATTGGCTTTATGTTCATTGTCTGTTAGATGCCTGTTTGAAAACAGGTCCTAGAGAGTCAGCAAAAGCATCAGATTCTTTAGGCACCTCTGAAAATGTGAGTTTGTGTGAATAGCTTTGCTATTAGGAAAGCCTAGGGATGGCATGTAGATTGTGGACTGACCAGCAATTTCCAACATCACCAAGAGTCGGGCATGATGGGAGTTATTGGCCTCTGTCTGTCCAGGGAGACAGTGGAGGAGTGTGCCTTTGTGGATGAAGTCAAACTGTGGGAAGGTTATAGTGCCTTCTGTGGGTGTGGAGACTGATATGAGAGAGACATGTTTTCTTGCAGCCAGGGCGGAGGAAGGTGTCCAGCTGTGCTGCTGCAGATGCACCAGGGCATTTCTTCTCTCTGCGTTCCTCCCAGTGGCTATTCCTCCTCTGGTCACTGCTATGGATGCACAATCTGCCTGCCTGTCTCCAGGCACTGGGGTCATTTGCAAGGGGTTCCCACATGGCAAGGTTGATGCTGCCAACCTTCATGTCATGTTTGCAGACTTCTTTGAAATGCAGAGTTGGTCTGCCAAGGGGCCTGATGCCCATTGTGGGAGTCGTGGTCCAGCAATATCTGTCTGACCACGGCCCCCCAACCCCATAAGCACAGCAGAACAGCACATCTTGGAGCCTCGGTACAGAAAAGGCTGGCCTAGGAGCAGAGATCATGGGGTAGGCTTCATCATTGTTGAAGTGCAAGACATATGTGGGCAATGAATCCCTCAGCAGGTCAGAGGTCAGGTTAATCATAGTTTCCTGGCTGTTACTGACAAACAGGGAGACAGGCTGCAGCTGCATCTACTTCCCCCATGTATCTATTTTGTGTTTCCATTTTTCTCATCTAGAACAACAGAAAGTCACAAGGACGTGTGTGGTTTATTGAAACATAAGTCCGTATTTCCTAAGGAGCAAGACTATCATTCCACAGTCTGTTTAATTGTTCACCACAAAAACTTTGCAGGCACAAACAGCATTGAAAGCAGGGTTGTGTATCACTGCCCTGATACCACAATGAACGCAACTAGTCATGAATGCACCATCAAAAGGATGTCTGGAGGGGACCATAACTGGGGCATATTTCTGCAGGGAGGCAGCTGAAATGCACAGGATATTTCTTCCATCATCTCCCCAGGGACAGGGAGGGGGCACCAAGGGTGAAGCTCCTGGTACAACTCTCTGCAGTGCAGAGTCCTGCCAGGAAGGGTGGAGTCTTTGCTGATCTATAAAAGCAACACAGTTCAGCTCCAAATGCCAATCACTTCCCGCTCCAGTTCAGCCCCAGAGGCTGAAAGCACAAGCCCAGAGCACAATTTGTATGGACATCAAGCACTGTATTGGTCCATGCTTCCACTGAGGGAGAAGAAAAGGGGGGAGTTCAGGAAAGGGGCACCCGGGGGACCCAGGGAAGATTTCCCACGTCCATCCTGGCGAGAGGGGGGGAGGTGATAGACCCGTCCTGGAAGAGGACCACAGAATACCCTGTGCAGCTGTTCAGATTAGTATGTGCACAGTCTTTTACCTGAGAAAGGAAAGGTGTGCCTAGGAACAGCCCACGCAACCTCAAACCCGCCACCTCCTTCCCACATGCCCCTCCTGCTTTAGACACTGCTCCTTAGCCTGGTGCGGCAGGATAAATGCAGGGTGGAAGTTGTGCTTTGTGCAGTGGTGGCTGATTCATTTGGGGGAATAGGGTAGTGCCCCACCAACCCAAATCTGTCCTCTGTTCACGTCAAGTCACTGGAGTGGCTTTGCGTCTCTGCCTCCTTTGCCGCAGTATTGCCTTTGTAGGACTCAACAGGGACGAGGATGAGGACGAAACCAGAATTAGTGGGCTCTGCCTCTTGTTGGCTCCGTCTCCACCTTGTTGACTCTGTCTCCTCCTGGCCTTCTGCTCTACCAGCCCCAATTGGCAGCAGCCAGCCCTTGTTTCAGGGAAAGGGGTTTCCGGGAGGGAAAGATCAGAGCTGCTCTTGTTGCTGCAGAATGTTGCCAAGGTGGGAATTGCAGGTGGGGAGAAGAGGGCTCTTATGCCCAAGTGCTGCTTGCAGGCTTCCCATAGATGTCTGGTTGGTCAGTGTGAGGGTGTTGTGCTAGATGGGTCTTTGGCCTGATGCAGCAGACGCTTATCATAGAACTGTAGAGTGGGAAGGGACCCCAGGGGTCATCTAGTCCAACCCCCTGCAATGCAGGAATATCAGCTAAAGCATCCATGACAGACAGCCATCCAACCTCTGCTTAGAAACCTCCAATGATGGACAGTCCACCCCCTTTCCACTGTCAAACAGCTCTTACATTCTTATACTTTCCTGGAAGAAAGTCCCATAGAAGTCAATGGGGCTGTCTTTTAAGTAGACACACATAGGATTGTGCAGTGAAACACTTAGTATGGTTTCTAATGAAATAGTGTTGTAGAATAAAATTCAGTTAGGTGGAACAGATGGACAAGAGTCAGCTTGAGTGGAGTTTTGTGCCACATTCAACTGGCTTCCCACAATCACAGTGAATTCTCCATGCTCGAAGGTCGTTTCATATAGGTGGCATTTGGTGAGAAGGAAGTTGTCAGGATTTTATAGCCGCATTCCCAAATAACATTCTTCATAAAAATAATAAAGTGTCCAGCTATCCGTTGAAATTGCTCCTCTTCAGTTTGGTTTGAATATTCTTCTCTCCAACTCTACAAAGGATTTCCATTGACATCACATTTCCTCCCCAAAGGAAATGAATGACATGTGAAATAAGCTTGGGAAAAAAACTAAATATAAAATATGTGCCTGTCTCTCTGCAGCGGGAAGCTGGTCTGCTTTGTGTTCCCAGTGATCCAATCTAAGAACAGCAGCACTATAGCATGTTTTTCTTCCCAAGAAAATTGTTGACCTGGGATGTTGTTAAGTTGTGGGTGAACATATCAGACAACACAGCGATTCTTCAAACAGGTCTTGTTTATTCACAGGCCAGAACAGAACTGAACTGAAGGGTTCAGCCAGCCTGCTTATATAGAGCTCCACTACAATGCAACAGTAACCATTTTCTGTAACTATCCAATCACTGAATGTCACTTTCAATCCCTTATTTGCATATGTGGACCTGAGTGAAAACTATCTACAGTATCCCCCTGCTGGCCCAGGGTGAGAACTTCAGTACATAACACCCCTCCCCACCGAGATAAGGCGTTAGTTACAGTCGTAATGCACTACACTTAATGGTTCAGTTAGGCACAAAAGCATATTGGTTACATTTCACCTACTTCCATTAGACCGACAGTGTTACATGTCCAACAACATAGTCCTTTAAATAAGTTGGGCACTTGGAAACTCTGCCAGACTGCCGGGGACTGGGACCAAGGTCCGGGGGGTTGCCCGCTTCTTGCTGAGGCTGTGGCACGACCCTAGGTGGCGTTGAAACCAAGTCCCCTGGATCTGCTGTTGTGGGTGGAACATCCGCAAGTGGAGTTGGCGGAATGTCAGGCACGGCATCTTCTGGGTCACCTTCAAAGGTAGCCCCACGTAGAGCGCATTGCAGTAGTCCAAGCGGGAGATAACTAGAGCATGGACCACTCTAGCAAGACAGCCCGTGGGCAGGGAGGGTCTCAGCCTGCGTACCAGATGGAACTGGTAGACCTGTCCCTCACTTCCCTCTACAACATGTTGGACCTTTGGACCCACCCTTGGTCTTGTCTACTCAATCGGGTGGGGACGGTCTTTTCATGCAGTGAGTCCCTAACTCACTCAGCTCCCCTCACCTGGTTTAGTCAGCCAGTCAAAGCCATTCCTGGGGTGTGGTTGCTTTCACATGCTGACAGCTTCTAGGAGCCACATAACTGTGGGGTTCTCTGTGAAACATACAGTGTACAAAAGTAAAAATAATAAAAGGTAAAAGCAGATCAATTAATCAATCAAATATAAGAATTACAAGTTCAGACTAGTTCCGTGAGATTATTGAAGTAGTTTTCATTACTTTTAAGTAAGTCTGTAACAAATAAAATGACAGATATTTAAGAGGACACTACCCCTCATTTTACCGTGAAAACATAGCACAGTTCATTCCTTCCCCACTGCTGTTTCTGATTGTTTCTGAAATTAGTAAAAAGTGTATTCCATGTTTTTAAAACATTAATGATTGATTCATTTTTCAAACCCACTCTTCCTTATTGGTAACAGTCTTTAGAAGCTTCACATTTTTAAAAAAAAAACTGAATTACTGTACTTTAAATTTTGAAGGCAGGTACAGTTTACTCCACTGAAGTTCTAGTGTGCTCCTGGTTTTTAACTATTTTGTTTCTTGTTGTCCAACCATTTTGTTAATTTGTTTTCTTCTTTCTCTCCCAACCCCCTTTCCTTGTTACCCTTGGGTGGATGCAACGTAGCAGGAAAAGCAAGACGGAAAGCAAGTGGAATCACAAATGGATTCAGATTTGACGGCATCTGACAATGGGCTCTTAATAGGTAAGGTGCATTAAGTAGTCTTTACTATTCTTTTCCTGACAACCATACAAAGCAACAGCCTGTCTTCCCTGTGTAAGTGCTACTCTCGGGGTCCCTTAAGATAGTACTTGTTTCCTGTAAGAGTTGTGAACAACTGCCTGAGCAGTCGGCTAATAGAAGCTAGATTGTTTCATGAGACAAATATTGGGCTGGTTCAAATGTAAAACTAAATCCCAGTTTAGTGTTACAAGAATGAGCCAAGGAGATGCTTCTTCTCTCCCCCATGTGCTCAGTGTGGCTATAAAAAGAATTTAGGAAGCTTTTGCTTCTGGTTTATATTATCTGTAGCTCGTTGTCTTGTTTTAAACCTGACAAACTGTGCTTAATCTTAAGTGTGGTTGCTTGAAACAAACCAACTTCAAACCATAGCTTAAGAAGCTTAAGAAGAACCATGGTTAAGATTATCTGCAATTTAGGGACGCGGGTGGCGAGGGACACGGGTGGCGCTGTCGGTTAAACCACAGAGCCTAGGACTTGCTGATCAGAAGATTGGTGGTTCAAATCCCCACGACGGGGGGAGCTCCCGTTGCTCGGTCCCAGCTCCTGCCAACCTAGCAGTTCAAAAGCACATCAAAGTGCAAGTAGATAAATAGGTACCGCTCCAGCGGGAAAGTAAACGGCGTTTCTGTGCGCTGCTCTGGTTCGCCAGAAGCGGCTTAGTCATGCTGGCCACATGACCCGGAAGCTGTACGCCGGCTCCCTTGGCTAATAAAGCGAGATGAGTGCCGCAACCCCAGAGTCGGTCACAACTGGACCTAATGGTCAGGGGTCCCTTTACCTTTACCTTTAGTGACTGGACATGCATGCTGAACAGTGGTTAATCAAAAATGGAATTGAAAACTTCTGGCAGCACGTCTCTTAGTGACTTTTAGCAGAATGTATGGACTTGCCTTTATTGGAAAGTTTTGTATTTGAGTCGGTGTTGGGCAACAGGAAAATTCCGCCTCTGGTGACTGAACTGTGATGGCTCCTGCAAACAGAGAAGTCATCACTAGATGCTGCAGTCCACAAGGGATTCATATGCATCATATGTATCAACAGGTCCCTCAGAGTATGTTTCCTTGAAGTCAAAGAGGCCAACTTCCGAGGAAATGCTTTAGAATCCTTATGGAGGGTTGCTGGTTCCTCGTGGATTCGCTCGGGATCTGGGTGCATGGTAAATCACTTTGAAGTTCCAGGTTGCTAATGACCTCGATAAAGCACATTTTGCCATAATTAAATGATCATATGAACCAGCCACAATTTGGTTCTCAAGTGTTTAGAAGTCTTTGTGCTCCAGGCTCAATGAAATCTGCCCCAAAGCTATTTTTAGAGGATGCCTGGTGTCCCTGGCTATATTGAGCCAGATCACAGACGGGCAAGTGCCAGGCAGTGGTAGATGCCTTAAGAGCTGATTAAGTAATGCACATTTTGAGGCAGAGAGGAGGAGAATGCTTTTTGTGGTAAGTGTAGCCAAGAGATTTGCACTGTCTTTTAACATTTACCTGAGAAATGTATTTTGGACGCCATGCAAAATGGAACTGCACTTGCCAAATGCCTCCGGAATCATGGGAATGGGTCGTCAAGTAGCTGTGTTGGTTGTTGATCAGCTTTGTAGGCCTACAATCATTTTTGAACTTTTGCCACCAGGCCCATTGAAAGTGGCTGCCATTGCCCCTTTCCCTTAGGTGAGGCACGTTGTTTGCTCCTGTCATGAGTCCCATGGAGACGTCATGGTCAGATCCTGAAGAGGACTGGATGGAGCTTTGGGGGTTGGAGCTGTATGACCCCAGAGAGGGTCCTAGCAGGATTGGGGTGGTGAAATTGGGACCCCAATAAGTGTGAGAGCCCAAGAGGGGGGCCAGCAGGCTGGGCTAGGGAGTGGAGAAGTGGATTACACTGTCAGTTGGTAAATGGAGATTTAACATTAGAAACTCTTCTCTGATCCAGTGCATTGATGAAGTTTGTCAACATATTTCATTAAATTTAAAATTTGTTAAATTCATTTCCCCTACACAACCTAACCCAAACCCTAAAATGCTGGAGCTCTGGGTGCTGCTTGCTCTGTGGGCAAGAAAGACAGCGCTTGTCCAACAAGAAATGTCTGGTGGCTACTGCTGGAAATAGTCTTGGGTTCCAACCTATCTTTGTTTAGCAATTGCTAACCACTGCACTTACTTTATTGATGGCTTTCATCCTGACTTTTCAGTGCTCTACCCACTGCAGCCCAACCTGGGGTGGTGTGTAGGAGAAGACTATGCACAGCTAGTCAGATTCCTAAATTAAATTTCTGCAGATTTTTGGATTATAATGTGACTCTGAAACTCCTTTTTAATTGAAGTGGCCTGGCAAGTCTTTGGAAATTTAAAGTATGACTCAAAATCTTATCCTTCTTTGCTGGAGAGAACATCCTGTAACTGATTAATGAAGTGTAAGGCAGGCAATAAAAGCTTTGTAGCTCTGATAATGATTTATAATCTGGGGCATAAGTACAGTGAGGTCATGTCCCCCAGAAAAGAATTGATTTTTTTATTTGATCTGCATAGTCACTGAAATATCTTTCATATGTGTGCCTCCTCTCACTTCTTCATTACCATTTGCTAATTTTATTTTGTATGTCTAATGCAATCCTAGAGAATAGGATACAGTGGTTGACTTTTCACACGCTGTGGCTGTTGAACATTTATTAAACCATGGCGTAGTGTTATATCCTCCAGCTGGGCAGGATTCACGGATAACCAGAATCTGAACAAACCACAGTTTAGTAACCTGGGGGGGGGGGGACACCTGTCATGCTGCCCTAAATTTAGCTCTGCACCAAGAGTTTGATACCCATCGGCTCCCCTCAGCCAGTCAAAGTCGTTCCCCTTGCGTAGCCGCTGTCTCATGCTGACAGCGTCTAGGAGCCACAGGTGAGAACTGAGTGCAGGTTGGGGACTCAAGGTGGATGAACTACCCCAGAAGGAACATGTTGTGTCCCCCACCAATAATACACCCATATTATTAAATTAATAAATATTAATAAATAATTATTGGGTGGTTTATAACAAATCAATATTAAAATACAACATACAATATTCAAAAACCACAACAAACAAAAACTCAACAGAGATACCATAAAAGCCCTAACTTAAAACACAATTTAAAAGTCTGAGGGACAAAAAATGTTTTCACTGGGTGCCAAAAAGGGCCTTTTCCCAGGGATGTTCACCAGGAACTCATCTGCAGGAGCCAACTGCCTCTGATCCAGAAGCCATGGACAGTCTTTACCGATTTGCCTCAACTCCTTTCATAGCCTGCTGAGTTGGTGGCCAACCCCACATTGCACAGCAGCAAATTTAATAGTTTAACTTTCCACTGTACATTTCTTTTTAAAAATAGCCTTGACGTGCCTGGGGGTTGAGTTCTCCTTGTGTTCTCTCAGTGAGAGCCAGGCCACCTGAGCTCTGAATGCATAGAAGTTGGTGGGCAGGGGGCAGGGGAAATAGCTCAGGGGAAAGGCTTAGGAAAACCCTCTTGCCATGCCGTAGTCCTCCTTATACCATCTGGTCCCTCTTTTAAAAGAAATATAAAAGGGAGAGGAGAACCGGCCACAAACCTCCTGGACCCGGCCTTGTTTGGCCACTGGCTCTGGTAAACAGCAACAAGCTCCAGGTGCACTGCTGCCCCGGAATGAAGCAGGAAGGGCAAATGCCGGCCTGCTCTTTACCCCACCAGAGGGAAAGGTCCAGTCTCTTGATCAAAGAGGGAACTGTAACGGAGCAGCTTTCCCACTTTCCAGCCGTAACTTCAGAGGTGCATTTTAAACCCCAGAGCACTGTAACCCTCAGGATCTGGAGCGGTTAAATACTTTGGATCCTTGCATTTGTTTTCAAGCGCTCTGAATGCAAGTCAAATAAAACCACAATCAAATAGAAAGAATGGTATTTATACAGCACTTTCCCCTAAGTGCTTCATACGCATTATTATCCCACAACAATGCGCTCCTGTACAAAGCTGCCCATTTGTTAAGGTCATCTTCTTATGCCGTCTCTCCTCCATCAGACGGTGTATGTGTTTGTGCTTGAGGTGGGGAAAGCACTTTTTCTGTCTGCACAATGCCAGGAGCATTAAATAGCAGAAACAAAGACTCTTTGAACCTGGGCTAGTGCAAGTAGAAATGATGCACTGAACTCTTGTTACTTTTAATTAACCTTTAATGCAACCAGCCTCTGTATATATTCTGCAACCACCCTGTTTGTTCTCAGTGAATATGGAAATGGCAGAGGTTGAATGAATACTCCTTCGTATTTGAGTATGTTCCTAATTTAACACCAAGGCCACAGATGCTTAGAGAGAGAGAGAGATCACGGTGAAACTCCAATCACAGTCAAGACCTGGAATCCAGTATGTGAAATAAATCAAGTTGTGAGACGGCAGGTGTGAGCTGGGAGTCTGAAGTACCAGGAGATGGTAGCATCTCAGGCCAGGCCAGGCCGTCCCTGACCAAACAATGGTTTGGGCTGCAGAGTCAGGCCAGTTTATAGGATCAGGTGGAATGCTCTTTGCTCGTGCCTCCAACCCCTGCAGAGCTGTTGGTGGCAATTTAAGTCTGTGGCTTCATTGACACCAAATCACACAGCAGGCGAGCAGCTGCTCCCTTTGGCAAGCTCACATCATTCTGCAGAGATCAAGCGGCCGGAATCTGCTGTTTTGAGACCCCTGTGCTTTGGAATGGTTTCCTGATGGAAATGATTCTCTCCCCTCCCAAGTTGTTCAGAAGCCCTTAATGCTCCGTTTCTCTCTTTCGCACGCCACACGGCCTGTTGTGTTTCACTGTGCCCTTAACAGGCCCAGCAGACATTGGCCTTTTGCTCTGTGACAGAAAGAAAGAAAGAAAGAAAGAAAGAAAGAAAGAAAGAAAGAAAGAAGGATAAGCAACCCTACATCCCATCTTGAGCACATGAATCCTGTTTCTCTCCGTCCCTTGTGGGCATCTTGCCATGTGCAGGACTTCATTCAGGCAGGGCTCCCCCTCGCCTCCCCTCGCCCCTTCCTCAAACTGTTTCTAATTAGTAGGAACTAGTCTGTGGGAGCCTGTCTCAGATATTATTCCACAATGTTTTTACTTCTCTGTTTCACTAATATTTAGCCCTCTGTTTTCTTCTCTTCCCACGTGTCCCCAAAACCCTGGCACCTTTGTTGCAAAGCTGGAGTTGCTACAGCCCTCTGCGTGACCCTCCTCCTCCTTCTCCACCTCCTGCTGCTGCAGATGTACAAACTGCCTCCACCCTTTCTCCTTTCCCCTCCATTTCAGCACATTCCCATGATCCGAGACCCTCCCAAATTCCCAAACCTGAGTGCTACATCCTGTTTCCTGCAATTGGAACCACATCAGTAGATTTACAGTGTAGCTATTTTTAGGTGTTTGCTTGTGATACGTGTGGTCCGTGAGGCACCTATATCCCAGATCATGACCCGTTCATAGAGACCTTTGTCCATGTGCATGCATACTGCGGTCACGATGAGGCATTATTGGTGTGCAGTGGGCTGCAGCCAAAACAGCCATCATCACACTGGTTGTCTATTCACTCCAGTTGGAAGAAGCACCACCACAGTACTGGGCATTGCTACCAATTGCAATAGAGCACAGTCTGTTTCACAGTGGTGTTTCCCAACATGTGTGCAGGCATATGCATATGCTAAGGAGTGGCTTGTTGGCATCCATGTGTCTCGGGAGACAGTGGAGGAGTGTGCCTTTGGGGGTGAAGTCACAGTGCTTGCTGTGGCTGGAGAGACCCACAGGGGAGAGACATGTTTTGTTGCAGCTGGGGCAGATGAAGGCGTCCCATTGTGCTGCTGCAGATGCACCAGGGCGTTTCTCCTCTCAGCGCTCCTCCCGGCAGTCACTCTTCCTCTGGTCACTGCTATGGATGCACAACCTGTCTGTCTGTCTCCAGGCACTGTGGTTGTCTGAAAGGGATTCTCACACAGTAGGGTTGATGTTGCCGGCCTTCATAAGCAGTGGCTGCAGATATCTGCAGGGTGAACTGGGCCAAATGTTTGGATCACTCTGCACCAGTTTTATTCCAGGCCTTATTCCATCCCCTTTTTTTGCATGTCCAAAAATAGACAGTAGAGCAAAAACATATTTTCAGATGCGCTGTAGTTTGCCAGCAAACTCGTGTTTTGTGGCTGTTTCTCAGATCAACATTCTTGGACTTTCAAAAAATTCCTCATCCAGGGCTTCTGAGTCAACTCAGCAGTTCTGGGATAAGAGGACAGGTTTTCTTAAGGATCAGTCACTGGTTAAACAGGAAGCAGAGAGCAGGAATAAAGGGACAGTTTTCACAATACAGGGAAATCAGTGGGTTCCCCCAAGGATCTGTACTGGGATTAGCAATGGGCGAATCTGACGGTTTCTTTCTCAGTTTCTAATTTTTCTAATCTTAAGGTCAGTTCTCCACATTTCTGCATCCATCTGTGATTTTTTTTTAAGTCTTCATGAAAATTTGACAGCATTTAAATGCTAATTTCACCTAATACACACATTTCTAATGCAATTTTTCCTAAGATAACACATTTTTGCAATGTGATTTCCCCTAATATATGCATTTTTAGGTGTACTTTAATATATGCATTTTTGTGCATATTACTGGGTTGGGGAGCTATATTGCCAAAATTAAGAGAAATGTGAATATAAAAAGAATGGCTGTGTTTTGGTTTGCACACTGATTCAGAAAGAATGATTTAAAGTTTACCTTTGAAAACAAACTGAACCAATTTTCTTCTTGATCCCAAATTGAAACTTGGGAAGGGGTCCAGAAGGATCTCTCCAACAAAATTTCAAACAAAATGGATAGTCCATGTACACTGATGCACATTGAGACCTGCCCAATCATATAGGGTGTTTGCACATAACAGTACATTCAGGACTCAGCGCTGCTCATGCATGAAAATTTTGTGCACAGCACCATCAATAAAATGCTGTCTCATTTTATTTTCCCATTTAATCCAGTTTTACTGGAAAATTTACTGGAAAATTCTATAGATTATAAAACAGCAGAATCTATTTTTCTATAGATTAAAAAATATTCACAGCAGAAATGGTGAATTTGAATTGGGTGTGTGTGATATTTTGATGAGGATGATGGTGATGTGAAAAAAATGCAGATATGAGAAACACGAGTCCACAATGCACCGCTGTGTGGAAGTAGGGTCTGAATTCTCAGAGGCTCCTATGGACACAGCAACTTGGGTCTGAATCCGGAAACAGATTGGGGCCCAGGCAGGTAGCTCAGCAGCCATCATGGGGTGTCAGCAGTCACCCCCAAGCTCTTGGCGTAAACGCGCGGGGATGAGGGCCCTCTGGCTCCTTGGCTGTGGGTCTTCTTCCTATGCTGTAGGCACTGGGAAGCCCTTCAAAGGTTTCTTGGAGCCTGCCCTTTTTACAACAAAGCAGAAACATTTTCTGAGGCAAAACATTAAAAACAAACGCCGTATTGTGTGCACATGGAGCACAAATATTTTCAACTCCAAGTTTAGCCATTGTCCTCCCCCATTATATGTGTGTGTGTATATATATATATATATGCATGTATAAAATATTTAGTGTTATTTTTCTAGAAAAAGAGGTACTGGAACATCACCCTTGTTCTCTGAGTTCCAGTGAGTTCTGGCTGGAAAAAAGCCCTGTATATATTTAGTATTCTAAACCCCCTTAAAGGACCATTTTGCCAAGAACGTCTAAACAAGGGTATGTCTTGAGTGCTTTTCCGTTTTTTCCTTTCAGGGAAGCTCACCGTGAGTTGTGGTCCGAAGAGCTCCCCTCCACATGGCTGCCACAGAACGCCAGGCAGTTGCAGGGGATTCTGGGGCATATTTTAGGGGGTCTTCTCAGTTTGTGGGGGACGTAGCTGCCTGGCATCTGGGATAAGGCTGTTACCCTGCTTAAGCAGAAACCCACCCAGCAATCTCCTGTGCTGCACACCACAGGGGGAAGAGAGGCGTGATATTGTGAGCAGGCTGCTTTTCAGAGGAGTTTGACAATTAGTTATCTCCCTGTTGAGAAACCCCTGAGTAACACCTGGGCTGTCAAACACGGTTTGAAAATCAGTGTGTTAGGTTACCATAGAGGCATTTTAACTTGAGTTTGAGTTTCATCACAATACCGCCACAAGTGGGCTTCTTTTGTAAGCTGTATTAATTTATGGCTAGTCCCACCCCCCCACCCCGGCCATTATGCGGGGGCTGCACAGAGCAAATGATTGCAGTGACCACAGGCCTTCCAGGAAACGCAAGCAGGAAGCTTTTTGTTTCCATTTCTCTTTGTGATTAACTGAGGTTTATATATTACTCTCATGAAAGCAAAGTTTTCCACTGTGGCCAAAAGGCTGCTCTCTCCAGAGCTTTTCATAGCCCTGTGCCTGACTTTCATCATTAAAGAATGCAAGCATAGACAATGTTGACTGTTACTTCATTTGTAAAAAAAAGCTTAAGTTAGAAAGAACAGATTGGCCATTGCAGACAAATCTCTTAGGCCATGGCCTATTTGAAAAATCTGACCCTGGTCAAAATCGCCTAAATCTCTGGAGACTGGAGAGAGGAATAAGTACAGGGCCATGCAAAGATATTCTTGACTGTTCCACACCTTTTTCAAGGACTATCCCGATGGAGCTTACAGGCCACCAGTGATTAGGAGACCATCGTCTGAGGATTTCTTTCCTCTAATTCTTTTGTGGGGAATGAACCCGGGCCTGATGCAAGCATGCTCCAATGCGGAGAGCAGGGTTTGGATGGCTGAGTCCATTGCGAGTCACTCTCTCTCTGTCTACCCGCCTCACAGGGTTGCTGGGAGAGAGAGCACAGGATGTGCCCCTGAGAGGAAAGACATGGGATAAACGCATAGCAGAATTCAGAGGAAAACTTCACCAAACTGAAACGCACCTAAAATGTCTGCCAAGGTTTGCCATGTCTATTGCTGCAAACCTTCATGAATACTTCCAGTTAGACATTTACATTGATGTCTGCAATATCTTCCCATTTCAGCACATCATGCAATTAAATTATCATAAAACTTTGTGCTAATGGCAGTGTGGTTTGTTTGTTGGTTTTTTTGCCAGAGGCAATTAACTCTCTCAGAAGACACAAACTCCCTTTGCATTTCTTGCTAATGGAAACGGATTTAAGCAGCTTAACTATGCTTCAGAAAACTGCTAGTACTCAGTGTACATGGTTGAAAGAATCATGTATGATGATGTTGTTGATGCTGACGATGATTAGAGTATGTAAAATATTTTATTCGTTTCTAGTTGATGTTATCTGGTCATAAACAGAATGGATGGATTGTTCTGTTTCTGGTCCATGTCAGTTTTGCATCTGTTCATAAGTCAATTCCATCCCATTTCTGCTTCAGTCTGCAGTTTATTTTTATTGCACATTGTCTTTGAATGTATCATACATTTCTGAATGCATTTTACCCTAAAATGCACATTTTTCCTCTGCTTTTTGAGCTGAGAACCAGAAACAGTAACAGAGTTTGATTCCACATATTAGCACGGGAGCATAAGAACATAAGAAGGGTCTGCTGGATGAGGCCACTGGCCCACTTTGTCTGCCTTGCTGTTCTTAAAGTGGCCAACCATAGTCCTGTGGGAAGCCGATTCGCAGGACCCGAGGGCAAGAGCACCGTCCCCTCCTGTGGTCTCCAGCAATGTGTGTTTGCTTACAAAATGTGAACCCAGCAAAATCCTTGAGCATTCCTACAAATAGATGCAAATGGAAATGAGGCTGTAAGTGTTATGTACTGAAGTTCTCACCCTGGGCCAGCAGGGGGATATGCATATGAAGGATCGAAAGTGACGTTCAGTGATTGGATGGATACTGTAGATAGTTATGCAAATGAAGGATCGAAAGTGACGTTCAGTAATTGGATAGTTTTAGAAAGTTGTTACAGTAACGTGGTACTGGAGCTCTATATAAGCAGGCTTACTGAGCCCTTCAGTTCAGTTCAGTTCAGTTCAGGCCTCAGAATAAAGAGCTGCTTTGGAGAAATCGCTGTGTCGTCTGATATGTTCACCCACAACTTAACAGTAAGAACACCTTGAAATCCCATTGGTGTTGCTGACTTTCTTAGCGCTATAGTAGAAGGCTTTAGAAAACCTGTTCACCCTCTTTTTCGAGGGTAAAAGAGGGTTCACCCTCTTTTTCGAGGGTAAAAGAGGGTTCACCCTCTTTTACGGAGTAATCAGCCGGTCCAATGCACTCTCTCTGTCAAATGATATACTTTCATCTCTTCTTGACATCCCGTATTTTCTATAAATTCCAGTGCAGTGAAAGTGAAGTGATGTCAAAGAGAATATCACTTTCTACCACCCATGATGCACCCTGCCCTTATAAATGAAACACATTTGTTATAATTTTTATACCATGTCAAGCAACTTTTATTTCTTCCTGTTGGAAAGTATGCTCTTTTTTTATCTCACCCTTGGAAGTTATGAATCAGAGAAATCTACCTAAGTGCATTTCCTTCCATTGACATCACGCTTATTGATGTATTTTCTGAATGCGCAGTTCTTGGCAGCAGGAATTGTTAGTTATGTTCAGCACTAATGTAAGCACAGAAAAAAAGATTCCTGCCACGACACAGTAAGATTACATTAATTGGAATGGTAATGATGTATTGTTCTGCTGGACAACACATGCAATCTCAGTCTTACTCCTGAGCATTCATGTTTACCATACTTAGGAGTATTTTATCTTCTTCATGCTCACTGGGGAGGCCATGTTTTCAGTTGTAATCTTAGATAATTGCACGAGGCATGCAGGATTAGATCAGGTTTTATAATGAGGGTGTAGCAGCAAAGGAGCTGATGCTTTTAGACTGAAGATAAGGATTCACCACAATCCTCAGCTGTGAAATGGGCAGTCGGTAGCTGAGCTACAGATAATTTAAAGGCAGCACCAGGTCTTCTCGAAAGGTGTCTGCCTTTGTAAGGAGCACCAAGTGGGGACACACAAGGGGAGAGAGCGAGACGTCTGGGCAAGAGCATTTGCAATGAAGCTAATATGAAAGGGACACCAGGAATTTAGGATTTATAACAGATCTATCATCTGAGGAACAAATGATAAATCCCTGATAAAATAATAATAATAATAATAATAATAATAATAATAATTTTCAGTAAAATTTGTATACTGTTCTTCACATGACAATTCACATGACACCATAAAAATACAAAATAAAAACACAAAATAAATATTAAAAACAAGAACAAAAACAAAGCAAACCAATAACCGCCCCCCGTCACACAAACACATTTAAAAGGACGTTGGATGATAATCAGCCCAAGGCCTGCTTTAAGGGGAACGTTTTTGCCTAGTGCCTAAAGGTGTATAATGAAAGCACCAGGCATGCCTCCCCAAGGAGAGCATCCGACAAACGGGAAGCCACCGCTGAAAAGGCCCTTTCTTGTGATGCTGCCTTCTGGACCTTCCATGGAGGAGGCAGACAAAGAACGGCCTGTGAAATAATGTTCCAGGGTTCCCTTTCAACACCTACAAGTCCAGAGACTAGAGCTGTGCTCACACTCAAGCACATTCCTTCCCTCAAAGAATTCTGGGTACTATAGTTTGCCCTTCGCAGAGCTACACTTCTGAGCAACCCTTAACGAAGGACTGTGCCCAGAATCCATTGATGGGAAGAATGTGCTTCGAATGTGCTTTAAAGGTACAGCGTGTGCTGATCATCCCTTGTTGCTCTTCCTGCACCTCCCTTTGCTCTCCAACAGGTGTAGGAGCAGACCCTGCAAGAGGCCATCCCATGATGCAGGAGCAGCCTGGAACAGCCAGCCTAGTTGCTCCTGCACCCTTCCACAGGGAGTGACAGTGTCCCCAGGGTTTTTATTTTATTTATCCTTCATAAAAGTATTTCTGTGCACCACCCACTCACATAAAATATCCAGGCATCATCTCTTTGGTAAGCATCTTAAGCACCCGTGTGTGTGTGTGTGTGTGTGTGTGAAGGGTCGTGCAGGAGACCTGGGGCAGGCGGAGCAGAGCAGGGCCTTTCTTCAGTTATGTCACACCACACACACACCACACGTGAATGATATTTAAAGTGTCATGCCAGTGTATTGGCCCAAGAGGCACCGTTCCACCCAGCAGGTGCTGTGGCGTGAAAGCAATGTTAGAAAACAAGACAGAAGTACAGTGGTACCTCGGTTTACAAACTTAATCCGTTCCGGAAGTCCGTTCTTAAACCGAAACCGTTCTTAAACCGAGGTGCGCTTTCCCTAATGAGGCCTCCCACCACCATTCAGATTCCGTTCTTAGACCGAGGTAATGTCTGCAAACCTGAACACTACTTCCTGTTTTGCAGAGTTCGTAAACCAAAGAGTTCGTAAACAGGGCTGTTCTTTTTTATATATATATAATAATTTTTATTAATTTTCCAACACAAATAAACAATCATATCAGAATTTCCACAAATTTAACTCTATTTGGACTTCCTTCAGCTTCTCTGACAATCATCCATATTTGCCTCCCAGTTACGCATTTCTTCTGTTTATATTGCCATTAACCTTCCCTCCCACTTCTATTTCTTTCAAACAATATATCTCAACTTTCACAGTGCTTCTTGGAACCCCACTAGCGTTGTTTGCACATCACACGTTCTTTTCAGATATTCAACAAATTTCCCCCAGTCCTCGATGAACTTTTGGTCTCGTAGATATCTGATTTTCCCAGTTAGTCTGTCCAGGACTCTGAACAGGACTCTCAAAATTTGCCACATTTATGAAGTACATAAATGGAACCCATCACTTGCCTTAAACTTCTTGATTGTAAAAAAGTGCAAACAAGTAAGAAGGGTGGTAAATATGGCAAATGTCTTGTTCCATGTACCAACCAATCTTATTTTGTAATGCGGCAATAATGTATATATTGGGGAAATGCCTTCGACAACGCCATCTTCACAGGTGCAATGAGAAGGAATGCCCACATCTAAAACCAGGGGCAGAATCTGCTGAAACATCAGCAAAGTGGATGTTTTCCTTAAGGGGAATTTATAGAAACCTCTGATAAAAATAGGATTCAAAGCCACGTTTGACCTTTATCATAGCAGGCAGATTTCAGAGCTGGCACGTTGCTCCATCTCTAATTGCGCTTATGTATTCCTGCAAAACCACCCAAGGCATTTGTTGAAGGAAAACTAGGTTAGAGGCTTTATTAATGAATAACGTTTTCAAGGGGGGGGGGGGAAGGTTTCCTTTAAAAGCTGAATTGGGGAGGGAAAAGAATCCTTTTGACTTTCCACTTTGCTACGAGAGGCTTCTTCTCCAATCTCAGCGCCGGCCCCCTTCTGGGGCTCCGGGTCCGCCTGCCTCTCGCCGGGGGAGGCGCGCCGAGGGCGGCCGGGGCTCCGCGCGGCGCAGCTCCCACCGACGGCGGACAGAAGGCAGCGGGCCTCGCTCTTCCGGCAGTGGGCGCCGCCGGGCTCCTTTTCGGCCACCGCGGAAGCTGCTGGGCAGGGAGACTCGCGCAGAACTCGCGCGCGGGCGCGGAAAGCAGCCCGATTCGGGGCGCCTTCCTGCCCGACGGTCCGCCCGAGACGCCGCCGCCTCCGCGCTTCTCGCGCGCCCCGAACAACAAAGGCGGCGGCGGCGGGCGGAGGGGCCGAGACACAAAGCGGCGGCGGCGGCGGTGGCGGCAGCGCCCCTGGGAGCGGGGCGGAGCCGCGGCCCGTGAGTCAGCAGCCCGCGCGCCGGCGGGATCCGCCCCGCGGCGCCTGCAAGGCGAGCCCGGGCGCCGAGCAAGCAGCGAGCAGCGAGCAGCGAGGGACGGACGAGCGAGCGAGCGCGGGAAGGACCCGCCGCGCGGAGCCCGACACACCTTGGCGCCCCGACGGGCTCGGGCCGGAGGAGAGCGCGCCCCGAGGTGAGGGCTGGGCGGGGGGCGCGCGCCGGGCGCCGAGGTTCCCTCTCCATCCCCGCTTCCTCGCGCCCGCCTCGCCTTTGTCCTCCTCGGCTTTGTCCGCGGCGGGAGGCTCGGACGAGGAGCCGCGCGGAGACCGCCCTGCTGGGAGAGCGGAGGGCGCTTTAGAGTCTCGGCGGAGCTTGCTCCTTCTTTCTTTCTCCCCCCGCCCGCCCGAGGCGCCTCTTCGCTGTCCGGCTTCCCCCGCCTCTGGCTGCGGCTTCCCGGCGGGGCTCCTTGGCGGGTCTCGGCGCGCCGGTCCCTCGGTGAGTGGGGCGGGGGCCCTTCAATGGGCGACGCTTCTTGGCGACGGCGGGGCAGAGTGCGGCCCCTGCCCCCGGAGTTGTGCGGGAAGGCGACGGGGATGACTTGGCCTGCCTAAATTCAATTGACGGGGGTTTTGTTTTAATGCACATAGCAGCGGTTTGGGCTTAAGCCCGATGCGAATCGCGATGGGCGCGTGTGCGCTTTTTCCTTTTTGTACTTATTTCGGAGCTTGCCAGTTGGTGTGGGAACGTGGAATAAGAAGTGTTTAATTCCAGCCTCCGTGTCGCGCCGCCAGTCCAAAGTGGCTGCAGATGTTCTGCATCTGGGGTACCGCTCTGGGGCCTGAGCTTTCGGCAACATGGCAGGGAATGCTGCCTCTGTGTCTGGGATTTAGAACGACTGTATGTGCGAGAGAGAAACTTTCCATAAACTGTACACACCCCAAAGTGAACTGTAATGGCAGATAACGAATTCTGCTGCCTTGCTTCCCGGATGACGCTGAACTCCAACTCCCATCTTCCCCAGACATCATAGCCCATTGTCAGGGGGGATGGGAGGTGGAGCCCGGCGATATTGGAGGGCCAACTCAGCTCCCTTGGGAAGAGCAGGGGGCTGATAGCACCAAGGTTGCAGGTTCAATCCCAGCTGCAAATTCCTGCATGGTGGGGTGGGGTGGGCTAGATTAGCCTCAGGGTCCCTTCCAGCCCTAGAGTTTTCTCATTCTGTATGGCCTCCTATGCCAGAAGAAGGGCATTAAGCCTTTAAATGTAATCAGTGACTTGCAAGTGTTGCTTCACAAGGTTTGGAGCCGTGTCTTGTTGCTGCTGCCAGAGGGTATCAGGAATTCCCTGGCTGGGGGTCTGTTTATCCGCTCCCTCATTCCATCTCCAGCAGCCAGGTGTGTTGTCTGGGCACTTGCAAGCAAGACATGATAGTGATCTCTCCTATCTGGTATTCAGATGCCCCTGAACTTGGAGGCACCACTGGGCCAAGGTGGCTGCTTGTCCCTTCCTAGACCTGCCCCCCATGTTCCTCAAATCTGCTTTAAAAAACTGTTCTGCGCACGTCTCCTTTGCAGTGTTTCCCATAAATTAGTTTTGTGAAGAGGAAACTCTTCTTTTGCAATTTCTGAACCCGCTTCCAGTAAACTTTATTAAGGGGAGTAGGAGTTCTACAACTGAGAAGGGAGGGAAAAGCTTTTTTCTCCAAACTGCTAATATGTAATTTTATAAATCTGTCACGCCTCCCCATACTTAGTTGTCTCGCTTCTCAAAACCAGAAAATGTGGTCTTAAAAGCATGAGTAATCATGTAAATTCTTGCAAGTATCTCACGTACCATTTGTTTCTCTTTGGAAGTCCCCTCAACCCTTCTCTGTAAAAACCAAAGCAATAAGGATCATTTCTGTCTGGGTCTCTCTCTGTTCTCCAAGAAGTGATGTCAGCTGCTTCACTTGCTGAGCCTGGGAAGTCCACTACTGCTATTGTGGGTTTATCTAAAGTATTTGAGCACTTTGGTGGCACTTACACCCCCAGGCCGCCTTTGCCTGGGGGCATTTAAAGAATGCAAAGGAAGGTTGGTAGAAGCAGCTGCTGGGCCACAAGGCAGGGAACTGCAGCAGACGTGGAGCCAAGTTGGAAGCAACCCGTAGGGGAAACGCGTGTCCTTCTCTTTCAGTTGGGGTGTTGCACGGAGGTTAAAATTGTGATGTGCAGTCACTTGATTGGCCCATTGAATCTTCTTGATCTCCCACCCCCTCTGACTTCTTGTAACTTTTAACTGTGCCTCTTCCTTCCTAACTGACAAGTGCTGGAGCTGGTTAACATGGGTTCATCCTGAATATTTTCGCTGCTTCAGGAGCCACTAACTCTAGAGGGCTTTGCCTGCAGCAACACCTGTTGCACTGGTAAGTTCAAAAGAGCAAAAAGCAACCTGTTCGTTGCTGTTCCGAATACTTTTGGCCATGCTGAGAAGTGAGCATTTTGTGGCAAGCCATTTGCGTGACAGCCTAAAATTGTCTGAAGTGACTATTAAATATTTGTCGATACATAGTTTTTGCTCTGTATGCACACTGTCTAATCTGCCCTTGGAATAGTTGGGCTGACTTAGGTGAAGGTGTGTTTCTTCTGTTTTTATTTTTAGTGTCATGCATATAAGGTGTCCAGCGCTTGGCAGAGGAGTCAGAGAGCAGTATTGTCTTACAGAGCCGGGTTCAGTGTACCTTTCGCAGCCGCAGCAAAAGAGGGGATGGTCAACAAAGGCAGGAAAGGACCTTTGAAAGGAAATCAAGTTTCTTAGTGAAGCAGCAGCTGGGCAAAGAAAGGAGGCTTGCGGGCTAAATTATGTGTTGCATTTTGCACCCTGACTTTAACCAATGAACTCAAGAATGGCATGCAAGAAATCTTGCAGAGCAGGGTGGCTCTGCTCTTCCTCCCCAGTCAGGTGGTGATACTCCTGAATCCCAGATGCTGGAAACCACGGCAGAGGCAGAGGCGGAGGCGGCTCGTGCCTTCGGGTCCTGCTTGCAGGTTTCCCCCAGGCATCTGGTCAGCCACTGTGAGAACAGGATGCTGGACTAGATGAGCCCTTGGCCGGATCCAGCAGACTCCTTGTAGTCCTGGCACCACTGCATTTTACGCCTGCAAAACTTCTGTGAGTTAGATTTAAGTTAAGAGGGAAGGGGCCAAGCCCATCCCTCTGAGCTTCCTGGCTGAGTGGGGAGTTTGTGCCGGGGTCTCCTCAACGCAAGATTTCTCCTTCTTGCCCTGCTTCAGCTCTCCTTGGACATTGTCTACAAATCTGCAAAGGTTGACCTCAAAATGAGGTTTCCTTGGAAGCTGTTATGAAAAAGCACAGTTTTGGACAAGACGTACTTGGCTTGGGATGGGACTGTGACCATAGGAGCATGTTTGATTCTTGATGGCTGGAGTCACGATGGGTAGGCAGCAAATTTATGGTGTGCCTTTATTTCTTCCTCGTAGAACAAAGTGGCTGCCATGATGGGGCATTATTTTGTTTTGCTTTTGTTCTTGTTTTTATTATGTATTTTGTGTTTTATCTTGTATTTTTATGCTGTCCTGAGATCTTCAGATGAAGGGCAGTATACAAATTATATATATAAACACACACTTAAATTAAGTTCTGTGTGTGTGAGTTACAAGTGGCACTTGGGGACACCCCTGCAGTGAAAAAGGAGTCTACCTTTTACCCTCACGACTGGAGTCCCTGCCACATGCATGCCTGCTGATACAGATAAAGAGTTCCCTCAAAGCCCCCCTTCAGGCAAACGCCCCCCTTGGCAGGGGGGGGCAGCTGCTCCCCCCATCAAGTAAACAAACAAAAATACTTAACTAACTGACCAATGGTGTTTCAGACAGCTGGGTTCTGCCCCCCTGTCAGGAATGCTGGCTGTGCCCCTGCCAGCTTGTTGCTTCTTCCTTCCTGCCTACAACTCTTCCACCAATAAATAAACTCCTTGGTGCAGTTCTCCTTAAGGCAGCAAGCCTTGACCTGGGCTGCACCACTTCAGACTCCCTTCCACAAAGGATAAGGCTATGGAGTAGCTCCCCTGTCAGGCAGCATGCTGAGAATCATAGGTAGGAAGAACTCCATTGCCTCCCAGTCCTGCCTGTGGGCTTTCCATGGGCGCCTGGTTGGCCATGGGGAGATGAGCAGGTGTGTCTAGAATGGTCCCTTGGCCAGATCCAGAAGAATATCTCTATTCAAAAATACCCTGCATAGCTGCAAACCAGGGAGAAAGTTCTCCATCCTGGTCCCCAACATGCTAGCATTTAATGTTCCAGCTGTTTTCCTTTTAAATGTGAGCCCCCGCCCCCAGCCGTAGCGTGCAAACACAGGCACACACCCCCCACACACACCCGCAGTGAGTACCAGGCCTTGGTTCTGGCTAAAGGCACTGGTTTTATAAGTATTGTAGTCATTCTGTGCCAGCAGATGTGGGATGATGCATGGGTCCCTCAGTGTCACCACTGAAGTCCTCTCCTTCAGTTAGAAGGTTTGGTTTGGGTCTAAACGATGGGAATGACACAGCGATCCATTCATAGAGTGCCCTTTCTGTATAATAGCCGTGTGACCTCATATTTGCTTACTGTCCTTTGTTCTGCTGAAAATTAATAAAAATCACATTATTGAAGGCAGGGTGTCAAGACGGGCATCTGCTGGTACAGAGTGACCACATGGGGCTCACGGTCCTGAGCTCACAGAATGCTTGAAAATGCAGGTGTTTTGGGAGTGATAGAATAGGCACCAAACAAACTAGGTTAGAAGAGGTTCACCACAAAAAGCTCAGCACATTAAAAAGTTACATTGATCTTTATCTTATCACCATCTTTCAAAAAATAACAAATGAATGTTTGTTCCCTTGCCTCCGTTCATTCAAATGCGTCCATCTCCCCCTGACAGCCTGTGCTCTCGCTGCCCTGCAGGCAGATTGCAACCACAAACACACTGAACTTTGAATTGCTGCAATTGAGATTATTTTGCAGTGACTAGTTTTATGAAATAGTTATGTGTTTAGGTAGTGCTGTCTTTGCATTCCTTTTTATTAAGGACTTTACAGTAAAAAACTATAAATGGGGAACAATTCCGCAGCAAAATGCATTTTGTTTGTTTGTTTGTTTGGAAAGACAAGCCTCTTCCAGTCCCCTCTCAACGTAGCCAAGATTGGCCAGTTATAATGCAGGTTCCACAAATATCAACTGATGCACATTAACCCAAGTCTTCCTAAGTTGTTTGGGACCTTTCCCAATATTATTTACTCCCTGAATTTGGACCCACAGGTGCTTCTCGCTAGTGCTTATGCCAGCCCTGAAAAGTAGGCCAGTGCTGAGACCCTCCTTCGACATTTGGTGGCAGGAGGCGAAGGATGGAGGCTCTTAGGTAAGCCAGGTGACGCCAGGTCTGTGAGCTGTGTCTTGGATTTGAAGACAGAAGGAAAGTTCAGGGGTAAATACTAAATCAATACATGATAAAAGTGGGGAAAAGAAGTCTCTCCATGGCCACCTTTTTGTTTTTGTTTTCCTCCATTTTGGGGCAGCTAATGTTTACAAACAACAAGGTGGCTTTTGCCACCAAACAGACGAGACTAATGGAGCCTTCAGAGGGGCAGTTTTTTATTCTGTGAATCACCCTGAGATCTTTGATGAAGATGTTCCACTTGGCCCATATATTGTGTGTGGCACAAGCATGGTGGAAAAACATGATTGCGGCTTGGTGTAGTGGTCAGAGTTTCTGACCAGGCCTGATGAAGTTCTCTGTTCGAACTGTGGGCTGAGAGAGAGGGCCTGGCTCACCCTCTCTGGCAAGGTGACCGTAAGGATAACGTTGTGTGGGTCCTACAGGCGCTGCCTTGAGCCCCTTGGAAGAAAGTTGGACTAGAAACATAGTAAATAAAATTCATAAGCCCAGGACTCTCTTCCTATTACCATCAGAGAGAGGAAACTTGAATTCCAGTGTTGACTTCACTTCTCAGTAAAGTAAAACCTGAGTATCCCACATGTTCTCTTGACTTCCTTCTAGGTAGGCACAGTTAAGATGGAAAACAGCATGATGACAAATTCTTCTCAGTGTGTTTTAGAAGGTAGTGGAGAGAGTCTTCTGTAGGTTAGGTTTATTCTCTTAGTTGTTTTGTCTTTGCCTATTTTGCTGTTGTCCCAGGTCTTCAATCCAGGCCCCCCAAAGAGCTTGGTTTGGGCTTGTCTGTTCTTCAACATCGGGTATCATCAACAGGGCGGAACTGGGTTGCTGGCTGTCACATCAGATAAGGCTCTGGGGCCAATTTGCCCTCTCTGCTGAAAAAATTCAAGAACCAGTTATGCAAAACCAGCGAGTTTTAGGCACACCTTTAGAAACATGTCTGCATAATCATTGTTCCAGGTAACCACAGTCAGGTTGCTATAGCATTGCCATGGTAGCCTGTTGGTGCCTGTAATTTCAGTGGGAAAATCTAGCCATTCCTTTTCTGATCAATACTGTTCTTGGGGGGAGTCCAGCGCATTATGGTAGCGATACTCCTTGAAAGACGGCCTCTATCTGTCTTACTCTAGTGAACCCTGCAGAGCCCATAACCTTTTGTCAAGTGCTGGGAGCTGGAGGGCTCAGAACAGAGTGCCTTCCATGGAGAAGATTCCTGCTGCCTGCTATCCAGTCTAGAGGCTGAGGGTGGATGGGAGACGTGGGAAGGGGGAATTCCTCAGTGGAGGATGCCTCTGGGCACGAGCCACACCGCCCAGGTCATGCCGCAATGTTTTGCTTGGACTGAGGCCGCCAGCAGCTCCCTGCAGAGGCACTTGTGGGACGGGGGATTTGGTAAGAGGAGGAGGCGGCGAGTGTGAGGCTGCAGCAATCAAAAAACGGGGTGGGGGTGGGGGAGAGGAAGTGAGGAAATTTAGCCACCTGAGTGAGGCAAGGGGGGAGGCTGGAGAGTTGTGACAGATCTTGAAGGAGAGGAAAAGGAGATGTTCCTGCAACCCCCCCCCCCCAAATGCTGTGGTCTTCCTCCTCTCCTGCCAGGCCCTCTGCTGAGCCAGAAAGCATCTCCTCCCTTCTGTGGGGAAGATAAGACGCAGGAAGGAAATTTAGAAAGAGAGAGATGGTTCGTTGTTTTACTGATAATAAACTTGGGAGTAAGGGAGGGATTAATCAAATTGGCTATTGGGCTTTCTTTTATTGATTGAGTTTCTCTTTGTGCATCTAAATGCGGGTATGAAAGAAGAAATTAATCAGCTGTGTATCATGTAATGGCCTCCTTGGCATAGGCTTCCGACTAGGAGGAAGACGGGGCTGGAGAGGGAGGAGGGATGGAAGAAACAGACAGTTTGCAGAGAGCAGCAAGGAGATACAGAGAGATAAGGAAAAGTCTTTGCCCTCTGAAACAAAATCTGCCTAAAATGGGATGTCCTGTGTCAACATTTTGTGATTGGTGGGCCTCAGTAGTTTTTTATCCTTTCGAGAAGACTCTGGGGTAAGGGAATCTGAGAAAACCGACCTTAAAGTATTGTTTGCCAAGCATGCAAATAAGGCTGAGTTGAAGCTTGGGGTTGCTGTTTAGCAGCTGCTGATGTCAAATGGGATTGACTGAATGCTGACCCCCCCCCAAATAATAATAGAACAAGACCCTCGTTTAGTGGCATGTGACTGGGCTGCAGTGGACTCCTATGTTTCTCTCTTTCTCAGCACAGTTGCAAGAAGTTCATACGCTTGGCCTTCTAGTTTAGATTGAAGCTTGCTGGGTTAACCTAACCATAAACTGTAGTTTATCTGTACTATGGTTTGTTTTGAACAAGCCAACTTCAATTCATGGGTTATGAAGCTGTCCTGCTTGAAAAAAACAAAGTTAACCACAGTTTAGCACGTTGACCAGATCCTTCACTGTGGTTAACCAAAGCTGCTGGGATCCTATGCAGAGAGATGAAGGGGAGGGGAGCACAGGAGCCCAAACCTCACTGTAGCTTGTCTGCATCATACTAAATGATGGTGGTCATCGCCTCTTCCCTTCTCTGCCTCCCCCCTCCAAAAAAACAAAACAAGGGAGAAATTGTGTGATTACCTTATTCAGCCCTTGGAGTGTGGTGTGTGGAGAAATTTTATCTTGGAAGAAAAGTTGCAGGATATCAAGACTTACTTTGCCCTTTAAAGATTTGGACAGAATCTCGCTATCACCCATGTTATCAACAAAATTTTAGGAGAAAACGAACAGGAAAGTAGGCTGATAATATATGTACTTAACACTCTCCCACCACTCCCAGGAAGGTATTTCGTAACTCCAGAAAAGGTTCTCCCTTTTCAAAATTAAATAGTGAATTTCTTTAAAGGTCCAACATTGGGACCAGCTTGGAAGTTGAGATGAGTTAACATTTCCCCACATTAAAGAGTTTGAGTTCTGCTTGCTTCCTACATTTGATAACTATCCCATTTGTGCCCAGAAGTTTGGAGTCTAAAGGCGGCACAAGAAGCACAGTGGAGCCAAGAGCTCTTGAAAGCAAACGGACTTGAAAAGCTTAAAGGTAAAGGACCCATGGATGGTTAAGTCCAGTCAAAGGAGACTATGGGGTTGTAGCGTTCATCTCGCTTTCAGGCCGGGGGAGCCGATGTTTGTCCACAGACAGCTTTCCAGGTCATGCGGCCAGCAGGACAAAATGCTTGTGGCGCAACAGAACACCTTGACGGAAGCCAGAGTGCACAGAAATGCTGTTTACCTTCCTGCCGGAGCGGTACCTATTTATCTACTTGCACTGGCGTGCTTTTGAACTGCTAGGTTGGCAGGAGCAGGGATACAACAACAGGAACTCACCCTGTTGCGGGGATTCAAACTGCTGACCTTCTGATCAGCAAGCCTGAGAGACTCAGTGGTTTAGACCATGGCGCCACCTGTGTTTGTCTGGTATTCAAATATTGGTGTTGTTTTAATGCAATAGTTTTTAGATATGTTTTTTAAAAGCTAGCACCTTAATTCAGTATCTTCCTTCACAGCCTTTCTTGTTCTTTTTTGTAAAATGGTAGAAATACAGCTGCTTAAAACTATTGCAGTAAATGACCAATCAGTAATATTAATTAATATGTTTGATTGATTGTGGGTTTTTAAGAATTATATTGTAACTTGCCCTGGGATCTTACCGTGAATGGAGGGCTAATAAATAGTAATAAAGAAGCCTCAAGGCTGAAGTGAACAAATACATTCAGCTGATATTTAGAGGACGTTTTCTGGCAAAGGAAAAGCAAGGCTAAAGCTGTGGTGCAGTTTTCCTGTGCTCAGGAGATCCTTGCCTTCCAGGGCCTTTGCAGGTACGGCAGAGCCCTTCAGAGAGCAGAATACTCTCGACTTGGGTGTGGCCTGGAGAACCTGAACACCTTCCTACAGCCAACAGTGTATTGGTATGCAAAGCTGTTGTGAGGTGAATGGGGAGTTCTTCACTTGTGATGTAAGAATTTCCATTACAGTGCAGAGAGATGGACATTGAGAACCAACTAATCTGGCTTCCAAACTCCCAGTTGACGTGCCCAGTATACCTGATAGATGTTAAAAACACAAAATAGTAGTGGTGAACAATCTCCTCTTTGCAACCTCGAGCAATTCAATACACATAGGAGGGCTGCTAAATGAGTTTGGCAGTTCATATAGACCAGGCAGTGCCATCCATCCAATATATTTTTAGATTTCCTTATGAGAAGACAGACTCCGGAGGATGGAATGGACCAGACCAGTTGTGGGTCCAGTACTCAAGAAGGCAGTTTCTGCATGTGCTGTAGAGGGAAGTGAAGGGCAGGCGAGGCTTGCCAATGAGAAGGAAAACTCTGACCCTAAAGCGCCCCTGCCTTGCGGGATATCTTCAGGAGAAGAAAAGGCTCAGGAGTAAACCCTACACAAATCTGGGGGGGGGGGTCCTCAATATGGTTAGATGGTGCCTTGTACGCCTCTTTCCGGCAACTCCTGCAGCAAAGCTGGTGTCGAATGTCTTGCTCTGCTTTCCTTTGGATCACATCAATGAGGCCAAAAGAGGGCGGTTGTATCATCTGGGCAGCCCAGGACCTCCAGGCACAATGCCCAGGCTTGCGCCCTGGGGAGGTCACTTTGGCACTGCTAACACAGAGGTTTGACTTCACCCCTGGAGGCGCACTCCATTGTGCCTCGAAAATATGAATGGTGTTGCCTGGTATTGTTGAGTGCAAAAAATCCACAAAAACCTTAGTGATGCATTGAGTAGAATTTAATTTAAAAAATGCAAATAGCTCTGTGTTAAGGAAGGACCATAGCTCAGTGGTGGAGCTTTTAGCATGCAGGGCCGTGGTTCAGTCCCCGGCTTCTCCAAGTGGGGCTGGGAAAGACTCCCTGTCGGAAGGCCTGGAGAGCTTTGCCAGTTGCTGTAGAAAACTCGGCTAGATGGAGTGGTGGGTCTGACTTGGGTTAAGGAGCTTCTTATGTTGCTGAGAGGCATTCTCAGGGTTACAGCGAAGTGCTTGCGTCTTCAGAAAGCCTGCACACTACTCAACTTCCTCAGGGGTTATGTTCCAGGGATTGCACCTGAAGTCAAAATTGCGTGTAGTCAAAACACATTGGGTGGGATTGCTGATGCCTTTTTTTTCTGGACTGCCTCCCCTTAATTTTTTTATATTTTTTATTGCCAAGCATGTAAAGCTGAATGTGCACAAGTTAATTGCGCCTAAGTTGCGGACTTACTAGATCATTGTTTGCCCAACTCTCCAAATACATAAGCATCATATCTGCTTTGATAGCTTACATCCTGTTGTTTGGCCAATTATTACAGGTCCCGAAGGAGACTTGCAGCATAAAAACAGTTGTAAAAATTGAAATATTGACAGTCATAAAATAACAAAGTCTATAATAACATCAACATTGACAACCATAAAACAATGAAGTCTACAATAATATCAACAGTCACATGATGGGCTTTGCAGTGAAATAAACCTTTCTAGCAATCTGGCTTGTCTATGTGGCTAAAAACTAGCAATGAAGGTGCCTAATGAAGAGCTTCCAAGAAGAGATCCCATCACAGAGAGGCCTTGGCTCTTTGTTGACATCACAGTAACCTCTGCAAATTGAGGTACTAGGGTAAGTTAGGAGACCCGCTCCAAGTGTATGGGGCAAAGAATGTCTTATGAGGGATTACCCCACCTGGTCAACCAAGGCCTAAAGCCATTTTTTGAAATATAAAGGCGGGAGCCACCACCTTGATTTGTGCACGAATGCCAGCTAACAACGGGTGAAGCTCTGACTGCACTCTTGTGATGTGCTTTTCCTGTGCCCAGTGAACAAGTTGAAGCTGTGGACGCGTTTATGATGGGAACTGGAACAGTTGAGTCCTTGGCACCAAGGCAGAGACACTCGCTCATTCAGGGAGGCAGAGTGCGGAGGATGAGTCCCTGCTCTGTCCCAAACACCAAGTGCAGATGATCCTTAATGATTGTATTCCAAACTCAGCAATCAAATACGCCTGAAATATATAAATCTTTACCTTTAGATCAATCTTCCTGTTTTGTGTGTGTTTTTGCTTTGCTGCCAGACTTGAGGAGAGCTGAAACAAGAAGAGTTTGCAGAAATTAAAGGTCAAGAAATGAGGGAATTGGGCAGACCGTAGCTAGCTTCCTGGGATTGGTGATAAGGCAAAGTACTGCAGATACACTCTTGTGGAGGAGGCAGGACTTCCTGTAGTGTTTTAAACTTTGGCTTGGACTGTGATTTCTTCCACTCCCACCCTAAAAATGGAACATCATGTTCAAACTGTCATTTATTGGGACCCTCTTTGCCCCCCCCATGTTGGGTAAAAGTTTCCTGCATTGCAGGGGGTTGGGCTAGATGACCCTTGCGGTCCCTTCCAACTCTACAATTCTATGATTCTGCCCCCACAAGCAAAAGGACCGAGGAATGCTGACCCAAGCTTGTGTTGTCCTCGCTGGGGAAGAGGGAGGGAGATACAGTGGTACCTCCGCTTCAGGTTACATACGCTTCAGGTTAAAGACTCCGCTAACCCAGAAATAGTGCTTCAGGTTAAGAACTTTGCTTCAGGATGAAAACAGAAATCGTGTTCCAGCGGCGCAGCGGCCGTGGGAGGCCCCATTAGCTAAAGTGGTGCTTCAGGTTAAGAACAGTTTCAGGTTAAGTATGGACCTCTGGAACGAATTAAGTACTTAACCTGAGGTACCACCGTACCTTGGCCTGACCAGCTGTGTGAGAGATGCAGCCTGAGGAGTGGGGGTGGGATTGTGAACTGTGTTACAAGTGAGGTGGGAAACCTCTTAGGTCGGGGTGGGGGGGTGGAGGGACTCGTTCTTCCTCTAGTTCCATTGTCAACTGCATTGTTTTGCAGCACCTCCTCGAGTCCTCTGGTAACTGCTGCTGTCTGTCTGCTGGCATGGCAAATGTTCCTTTTTTCTGCTTTCCTTTTTGTGCAAACCGTTGCACTAGATTGTTTTTCTTGCTGCTGAAGCATTCCTCAGCCTAGAAAGGAAATAAAGAAATAAGCCACAACGGCAAGATAACATTAATTGACCCACCTTCAAGAATTATACATAGATCAACAGTTGCATAGATGGTAAGGAAATTCTGGGCCGCTTCTGCTTGGCTCTGAGAAACAGGAAACAAATGTGGTGGTTTTCCTGTCAAAACAGGAGGAGGAGGGTGTGAGTGTCATACAAAGCAGGGTGCTCAGAAAGGAGGGAGTTTTGTGTTTAGATATGTGCACAGCCCTCTTAAAATGCCAAAGGTGCCTGTGTTCCCTGTTGGTTGAAGGTGGAAGGAGATTGTTAAAGAGACATAGGTAGTGGAGGGGAGCAGGGCATTTCTTATTACTCCTGAGGTACAACAGTAGGGATCATTTAAAAATCAAACTCCCAGCTGTGGTATGCCCTGCTGGGAAGTAACAGACCAAAATTGGGGGTGTTTGTGATGTAGACTTCATTCTCTTGATTATTATTTTTTTAAACCAGTGTGCTTGCAGCAAAAGGGAAATGCATTGTCCTGGCAAGAGGTGGGCTTGCAGAATTTAATGTTTCCCAAATGTGTGAAAGGAAAAAGACATGTGTCTCTCTCACACACCGGCCCTATATTAGAAGGATCCACACTTGTTTGTCACCCCTGGACTGCATTGTCAAAGTTTCATGTATTTTAATCACCTCAAATGTCAATTGCAGGCCATCGGTCTTATCACCTCAAGAGCCATAGATCTGTTCACCAAGGTTGCCCTGACTTAGCATCTCTTTCTCTCTGGTGGGCATGAAGCTTAGTTGAGTAGAAAGGAGCCTCTCTGCCCCCATGGAAGCCAGGCAGGAGGACCAGCTCCTTCCCACAGTATCAGTGGCTGCTCAGTCTCAGCAGCTTTGAAGCTCAGTGTGCTATCAGGCGAGTGTCCGTGAGCGGAGATCTTGGGCTGGCTGCAAAGGCTGGCTAAAAATTGGGGACACTTGTCCATTCAAATGATTTGCACATTCCCTTCCATCATCTGTTGAATGGTGGATTAACAGAAGCATCTGTTGGAACCAGTCTTCCAGGCTTAGTTCTGAAGTGCTGTAGTTCATACAGTTTACACACAACTTGTCCTGATGTAATTGAAAGAGGAGGTTCTGCACTGGAACTCTCCGTTCAAGTGACTTTGCTTTTGGGATCATTAGACTGCTGCCTGGGTGATCAGCTTGCAGCATTAACTAGCCCAGGCAGTTTGGGTTGGGGCTTGCACTCCTATACAGGAGCAGGAGGACCTGCAGGCCTTCTGTGGACCTTCTTCCTGCCTCTCCCGTGCTGTGGCCTGTTCCATAGATCGGCAGACTGAGGCGAAAGCACCCAAAGCATCCTGGCCTACGCTGGTATGATCTGCTGCTTTGGGCATGTTGCAGCCTGTTTGTAAACACAGATCAAGGACTACTGAAAGACCAGCAATAATGGATTGTCTGGAGAAATTCCAGGATGGATTGTAGAATGGGCATGCTCCTCTTCTCCACTGGTCTTCAGAGTAAATCCCATTCAAAGAACAGAATAGTTTTTTATTTTTTTATTTTTTGCAGTTCTGGATTTTATGTGTATTGGAAGGATTGTATTTTCCGCAAGACATAAACTGAATATATTTGTGTGGAGGATATAGGAGAAGGCATTGGGGCCATTGGCAATACTTTATTCTTCAGCTTATGGGGCTGCAGAAGGGACTGAGTGCCCTATGCTGTTAGATATATTTAAGTTATGCTTATTTTAAGTGTTCATATGTAAATAATTCATATTCCTTTGACCTGATTTTCTGGCACTGAAATTGAATGGATACAGCCCAGCACTTGACTAATGGAAAATTCAAAGAAAATAGTTGATATCCATTACAACAGAAATCATGAAGCGCGACAAAGTTAAGTGGTGCAAAGAAATGCCCTTTTAAAAAGTGGACAGAAAACTCATTGCCTGTTAGCTGAAAGCCTTGACTGTAGCTGTATTTTCACAAGCCTTTGTGCCTTGTGAAAATGGTTCCTTCTCAACGTGCCTGAGCAAGACCTGATCTCTCATGCCAGTAGAACCCAGGGACTTAGTGCTATGTGTGAACTTGACCAGGCAGCTTAACTGGGTTTTTTCGCTGCCAACAAAACAAAATCAGATGCTGCCATTTGTTGCTGACTTATCACCACTGGTTTTGTCTGAACTATGGCTTAGCACTACATGTGAAACCAGCAGCCATTCTTCGTGATGGCTGGTTTGACCAGCCTACTCTGGACGCTCAAGAAACTATAAGACTAGCTGGAAAACAAACCAAACTTCGAGGAAACAATCTATAGTTTGTTTGATCATGCATGGGACAACGCATGGCTGCCACATAGTTTGTCAAGCAAACCACGGTCTATGGTCTAGCGTGTGTGAGCCGGGTCATAGCAAGGTGTCGGACCACCTAGGCCCAAGATGCCTTAAACATCTATATGAGTCTGACTGGGTGAGAAACCCTTTTGTGTCTCGTTGTTGGTGGAGGATTATAGGGAGGCCACGAGAGAGGGACAACCTTCTCCTCTCCCTGGGGAAGTCATCAGTCTCCTTTCCTGCCTGTCTTGACCTTTTTGTTCTCCGCAGTCTTTGGCTGTTGAACCATATCACTATTGATTTTTGTGTAATGTACTCATAGTGAAATAAAGTGCCTTCTGGGCCACATTACATGAGCCAGTGCTCTTTTCTCAGGAATGCACTTGTGCTCAGAGTGTGTGAGTGCGCATGTGCAGGCAGACACACCACTGGTGCAGTGTAGGCTTATAGCTGCAATCCTGCTCCCCTGATCATTCTCTCTGTTCACCTTCCTTCACGTGCACAGTGTTAACCTTGTACTTCGCCCATTCTTGAATGTACCTTTTGCATGATAAGAAATCATTTGGAAAATCATTTGGAAATGCCCATTTTGTGTGTGTTTCTTCCAAGGAATGTGTGATGTATGTTTTTCTCCTGAGTATTTGTGGAGGACTTGCATTCTGCGTCTGTTCATGTTCTTCCCAGAGATAAATAATTCCCCTGGTGAATCTTGCTGCCTCATGTACTTCCATTCGCCCGTATTCCAGACAGGATGAAAGGAACACTTGGCTTTCAAGGCAGTCTCTCCCTTTGACTGGGAGACCCGGATCAGAGGTTTCTGGAGTTGTTATAAGCAAGAGAGGTCTCTGCATCAAAGTGCCTGCTAAGATAAGACTGGGCATTGTTGTCTCTGATTGCAACAAAGTCCCTGGTGAAATGCTGCTTGCAATCACTGAGTAACAGCATCCACTCGGAAGTAAGTCCTCCTTGAATTCAGTTGGGTTTACTCCCAGGTAAGTGAGGTAGGATTGCTTATTTTGGTGAGCATTTGTTTTCCTTTTCCTTTTGTACTCTAACACGTTGCAAGCAATACTTTGAGCTACTCTGTGTTAATCTTGAGATCCAACAGACAGACATAGGTAAAGGTAAAGGTACCCCTGCCCATTCGGGCCAGTCTTGCCAGACTCTAGGGTTGTGCGCTCATCTCACTCTGTAGGCCGGGAGCCAGCGCTGTCCGCAGACACTTCCGGGTCATGTGGCCAGCGTGACAAGCTGCATCTGGCGAGCCAGCGCAGCACACGGAACACCATTTACCTTCCCGCTAGTAAGCGGTCCCTATTTATCTACTTGCACCCGAGGGTGCTTTCGAACTGCTAGGTTGGCAGGCGCTGGGACCGAACGACGGGAGCGCACCCTGCCGCGGGGATTCAAACCGCCAACCTTTCGATCGGCAAGTCCTAGGCGCTGAGGCTTTAACCTACAGCGCCACCCGCGTCCCCACAGACAAACATAGGTCTTACCTATTGAATTTTTATTGGAATAATATTCTGAGTACAGAAAACTTAAACCTGGTTGTAAGGAGGAGGTGGCAGAATGAGGATGGATTTAAAAATCTGGCATTGGTTAGATCTCAACATTCTACCCTACCCAAATGCCTCCGTCTCAAATATGATCTAGTGTGGGATTCCTTATCTGCCTACACCCTTTCATCCAAAAACCTAGACTTCAGTAAAGGTCATTTACTGTCTAGACTATAATAGTTTTATTTCATTTGTTACAAGCCCATAAACTACCGTATTTTTTGCACCATAACACTCATTTTTTTCCTCCTAAAAAGTAAGAGGAAATGTCTGTGCGTGTTATGGAGGGAATGCCTACGGGTGGCATGCCTACGGATTTTCCTCCTCTAAAAACTATGTGCGTGTTATGGTCGGGTGCGTGTTATAGAGCGAAAAATACGGTAGTTACTAGTTTTGCTGCCCACGCATATCAGTTGTCAGAACGACATGTTCCTAAGCTTCGCTGCCAGGTAGGACTGTCTGTCGTGAGGACATCTTCACTTGCAGTCGGTGGGAGTCTTGCATTGTCAAGTGCTAAAGCCTCTCGGTTGTGTTTAAACCAGAAAACTTTGTCAACGAAATGCTAAAGCCTCTCGGTTGTGTTTAAACCAGAAAACTTTGTCAACGAAATGCTATGTTTATTAAATGCAATACATTAATGGTTCCCTTTAATTAAAAGTGGGGCAGCATATCTGTAGGAAAGCAAAGCTGAATTATTGGAAGGTGTACTCTCATCGGACCTTGTGTGTTTTCTTTTTCATTTCTACTTCCTGTCTTTGCATTTTGCTCCAAGGTTTTTGCCTTAAGGTGGTTTCTGAAGCTCTTCAGAAACTTTTCTGATTCTGTAAACACTCTATAAACACACAAATTAACTACTGGGAGAGCCGATAAGATGAGAAGATAAGCAGCCAGATTGGATGTTTATGGCTGCTTTTTGGCAAGTAACATACTACAGATGCTGAGAAGGAAGGTGGGAAGGATTTGGCTTTTATCTTGGGGTGTCACTTAGATGATGATGGGGCTTTAATTGGTGGAAGGGAGAAGGAAGCAGTTTTTGGTTGTTCTCCTCCACTCCTCGTCTGCTCTGGAGGGTCCCTCAACCTGGGATTAGGAAGGCTACAGCAGGAAAGACAAATTGCCTTGTTTTCAGCTGGGCAACGGCTGTTAGATAGAACCCTCTGTCTTCAACTTGCTCTCTATTTTAGGCTAATCTTCTTGCTTTGCTGCACAGACCTGATAGATCTAGTTACAGGTAGGTAGCTGTGTTGGTCTGCTGTAGGCAGAAGATACCTTCTTCTGATCTTCTTCTTCAGATATTCTGAAGAAGTGTGCAAGCACACGGAAGCTCATACCAATGACAAACTTAGTTGGTCTCTAAGGTGCTACTGGAAGGAATTTTTTTATTTTGTTTAGACCTGATAGAGAATGACTTCCTGAATAATTGCTGCCCTGTAGCGCTATTGAAAAGCATTTGCTTGATAAGTGAATGAGAAACCTAATTAAGTTGATGTGAAGTGTTATGCGTGCAGCTTCCATCTTTTGGATTTTAAAATCTACATGTCAAAAGATAGTCAGGGCCGTAAAGCAGATAAGGGCACAGGCGTGGGCAAGCTGATCTGTTCCGTTGTTTCATCCATGAACTCTGAATGGGATCCCAGATGCACAGAGGAAGGAATGGTTAGGGTCATTTCCCATAATCTGACGATCTAGCCATCCCAAGTTAAGATTTGATGCTTATGAGTTTCTCACAGCGCAATTCTAAAATAGTTGGTCAGAAGTAAGCCTCATGGAGTTCAAGGAGTCTTGTAGTATGTGTGTAACATTGGAAAAGTAACCTGCATGTGCAGAAAACTTGCGCTTGGGAAGCTATGGTTGCGTTTATGTGAAGGAGGGGGAAGGGGTTTAAGAGAGAGCAAGAGAGCGCACATTTTTATTGCATACACAGTGGAACTGTGGTTGTCAACATATATAAAGTGGGGCTGCTTTATTCCACATACTTTTTTTGTTCATTCCAAAATAGTCTAATTATACTAAAGAGAGGCAGCTAGTATTGAATTAAAGACCTTTCACCTGATACAAGGCTTCCTAAAGTTGGTGATGGAAAGAGATGGAGTTCAGTTAATTTCTAAGTGTAATGGGGACTATGTGAGGAGACAGGAATAAATGTCTGGACTCATTCAAATCCATATTGGTTTTCAGAGCCCAAGAACAATTAGATTTTTTAAGGTTGGAAGCAGATAGTACATTTTAGAGTTGTAAGAGGCTTCATTCCCAATGTACAGGCACACTAATTTTGTTTCTTTATTGCCTTTCGGTCAGGAGCTCCCCAACACCACTGTTGCTTGACCAACTGCAAATTGCTGAGGTCTTGGTGGAGCATTTCATGATTTTTCTGTCTGTTGTAACAGTTTTAATGCACTGCTCTAGATGTTGTCTGGTTTTTAATTCCATTTTTACCGTCATGCTGCAGACCGCCTGAATGAGCAGAGCAGAGTTTTGGGACCTGAGCTGTAGGCTAACCAAAGTTGGTTAACCAAAGTTGAGACAATACAAAAACATACGGATCACATTGTGCCTGTTTCGTACCTGATGTTTTTGCGTTGCTTGGATGTGTGAGCCATCGCTTTGGGCGTTGCAGTAAGAAACGCCACACTTTCTGGTGGAGTCTGTTAATATGTTCAGTTTATAAGCCAACCATCGAGTGAGTTGTCTCTCTTCCCTTGAATACTGGCAAGGTCAGCACCTTCAAATGGACTAATCTGCCTTCTGAAAGTTGAGCTCAACACTCCACTCTGTTCACAGAGTCTTTCCTGTAGATTTTGGGTTAGTGTAAAAACAAGGCTGCAAATGGGCACCAGCCTGAGCAAAGGTGACCTCAGTGCCAGGAGGTTTTTCTAAACTGGAAGGAAATTGGTTCTGTTTTTCATCTTGGTTCTGTTTTTCATCTTAAAATGGCCAGAATCGGGAAATGGGTTTTATGTATCCCATCCTGGAATTGTTCACTTGATGAAGGTCTGAAATCCTTTTAATATAACATTTGGAAGGGGGAGCAATCTAGTAGCTGTTGTGGATGATTAGCAATTAAATTATTTGCCTTAAATGGTTCCCGAGAAAGACCTAGCGCAAAAACCTTTTGGGGCCATAATGCCTTGGGCTCCGAAGGAGAGCCCTGCTGGACCCGGCCAAAGGCTCCTCTAGGCCAGCCTCCCGTTCTCACAACTCTCCCCTCCTGCGTTCCCCAGCAACTGCAATGCATCAGCTCACGTCTGGACAAAAAGATGCACACAAAAAGACTGCGCACTCATGTTGAGAGGTCCCATGTGCCCTCGGGAGGGAGAAAGGGCTATTTCTGTTTTCCGTGGTATGAGCAGCCACTGCCCAATACAAAGGTCAGCAGCAAACGCTGGTGTGGTGGTCTTATTTCCTGGTAAGAAAGGGGAGGATTGTGCCATGGAGACATTGGAACGCACAAACCTCCAGGGACATCTGACTGTGGGAACTCTTTTGCCAGTGAGTTTTAAGCCATCAAAGCTGGAAAAGTTCCAGCCTGTGAAAGCTCTGCCCCGTCATCGGTTGAGCATCTCCCGAGATGGTTCAGAAAGAATTTCCCCATTAGCCTCTGCAGATATTTTACATGTCAGTGGTTCATAAAGGGCTAAAGTAATTAGAAATGCTCCTTGCTGTGTTTTTGTAATCTTTCCCTTACAGATGTTACGACTACAGAGGATATCAGAAAGCAAATGTGTTCCCAGGTAATTCAGAGTTTTCTCCATTGAGAATGCTGGAGATTTTAAAGTCATTAAACTTTAAATTTACTGTGATCAGAATATGTACAGTTAAACACAAAAAATAATGGTATTTAATTCATTAGGAAGGTGACAAAATATCCCTAAGTGTGCCTTTTTTCAGATATTTCATATGAATGATGTGAATGAAATGAAAGGTGTTCTGATGAAGTGTTGCTTATTTTGCAAAGTGTCCAGAACGTGTCATATTTTAACAGCTGTAAATGTGTCCTGACACCTTTGTTTCCAGTAGTTCTTTTAGAACTCTGGAAACCTTCTTCTACTGTGTCTCCTCTTAACTTCCAGTTTGCATTGTATTTCTGCCTGTTTCCAGCTCCTTTCTGGATAATGATGAGACAGTGGGTTGGTTCAGAGGTAGCATTCTGAATCCTCGGAACCGTGGAACTGTGGTTTAAGGAATTGGGACTGTGTCGCAGGCTTGTGCCGCCGCCCCCCCCCTCCCCTCCACACTTCAGTTCAATGGGTTACTTCCTCTTCATTATTACTTGCTTACATCTGTACCAATTGTGGGAGAGACATGCTTGCATCCAGGCCTCAGGCTTGCACAGTGGTTTGGAGGGCAGGCACAAACCATAGTTTTCCGGTACAGATCTAAGTAACAAAGATGAGGAAATTACAGATTAAATTGAAGTGTGGAGGGGAGCAGAGAGGGAGGAATGGCACAAGCCAGCAACATATCCAAGGCAGTATGAGCCTGAGGTTTGGATGCAGCAACGTCTTTCGCCCAAACAGAGCCCTTTTTCTTTAGTGCTCTTGGGATGCCAGGATATCAACCCTCCCCGCCCCAGTCTGGGACGTGCCCTGCCCTGTCCTCTTTGCCCTTCAAACCCTTTTTACTTGAGCAAGGCATGACCAACCCTGTGACTTAGGTTGGGAAACAGGTTTGCTCCCTCTTAGTCACTTCTGCGATGGGCTGCCTTCATGGGCTTAGTCAGCATCAGAACAGGATGCAAAGTGTGTGTGTTACAACAACACCTCTCTCCAAAGCGCCTTAGGAAAGTTCCAGGGTGGGCAAAGGACACAAAGCGCACAAATGCTGCCTTGTTGAAAGCCACCTGAGACATTTGAACTGCAGACATGGTGGTTCTGAGCTCACTAAAAAAGCTGAGAAAGTCCTCACCTTGAAGAGAAGTAGAAGCCCCTTCTGCCCTCTGTCCTCTTCAGGTCCCCATTCTGCATCCCACCAACAATACCTAGAGGAGGAGGAGGAGGAGGAGGAGGACCCACGACTAGGAGGTGGAACTAATTCTTGCAAATTTCTTCAGTCTTAAAAATATGTTTTTGGGTGTGAGGAGTTCAAGTGGACTGTTATTTTTGTGATTGGACAACATTTAGCTTGGTAGTTCTACAATTGATGAAGCTCATAAACTTCTTTTGGGAAACACCAAAGATTTTTATTTTTACCTTTTGAAAATGTCAGGTAATGCTAGATAGTAATTATTATTATTAATATTAATATATAACCACAAGTACTTGGCAATCATTTTTAATGATTTCAGTGCAATTTTACACACATTTTACTTACCTAGCAAAACTAAGTCACAGTGCAAATATCTTTAGAATTCTCAGGTCACGTTTAGCACCTCTCATTTTTGGAAGTTGAAAAATTGAACCCACCCGAATAGTGTGTCATGAGGACAGCTGTGAAGCACTTATGACAATGCTAATTAATACAGGGTAACTGTTTCACGTTGCTCGCAACTAGTCACACAGTTTTGCTGTGTGGCATGTTCCTTGCTCAGGTTTTGAGCCGTCCATCATGGCTGGTTACTAAAGAAAACCCTCCCTCTCTTAGGCAGCTTTCCGCTCCCCCAAACCTCAGCTGTCAGTCAGCAATCTGTGGCCACTGAGCATGCTCAGTCCTCATTGGGCTATTCTTGGGGTGCCCCCTCACTTAGCTTTTTAAAGTTTATGTTTTTTGGTAGATCTGCAAATCTTGGGACCCTGCCTAGCATGTGGGTGGCTGATGCTGTTTCGGCAACATCAGGACTCCTGAACACCACAAATGCAGAGAGGGATCCTCTGAATCAGGCATAGGCAAACTCTGCCCCCCAGATGTTTTTGGCCTACAACTCCCATCATCCCTAGCTAAGAGGACCAGTGGTCAGGGATGGTGGGAGTTGTAGTCCCAAAACATCCGGAGGGCCGAGTTTGCCTATGCCTGCTCTGAATTGTGTTTGCCTGTTCCCCTGATGTGCAAGGAGGCGTGTGGCAAAACAATATTTGATTAAACCACCTGCTCTCATTGGGAGAAAAAGTCAAATAGGGCAGCCTAATGCAGAGGGCACCTCACCCAGCAGGGAAGTTATGCAAAGCGCGGCAAGGGAAAGGCAGGCGTTCAGATGTCTAGCACAGGGTGTTTCCTCCCTCCCTTTTAACACCCCTTAAAAAGAGTGTCAGCTGTCAGGGAATTGGTAAGTCTAGGTTTTCTCCTACTGAAACCTTCCTAAACTCAAATGTGGCATTGGTGTGAAATGCTCTTTGCACGGAAATGCACACTTTACAAATGCCACATTTTAACAAATCCTGTAAGGTGAGCCAGAATTGTTTATTTTGCTTGCATCGCAGGTGGTGGTGGAGGCAGCCTCGCAGTGGGGGTGGTTCAACTAAGCTGCTTGCCAGGATATTATTACTAAATGGGGGTTTTGTGTATGAAAAAATCAGCATCATTTTGGGGTTTCTTTGGGGCTTTTTTGCTTAGTGTGGAAACTTAAATTATCTAAGCAGCCAATGCATGTTGCTACACTAAAGTTTAACTGAAGCACAACATTTTTAACACTATGGGTGCATTTTAAGCTTCATTTTATGTTGCCTTGGGCTTAGTGTACAATGGGACGGAAAGCAGCTTATTAATGATTATATTTATGTGTTTGGTCTGTGTGTTTCGCAACCATGCTGGAAAGACCTTCTATTGGCTAAGAAGCCAAGGAAGTTGTAAAATAATTGTGGGGAGTTGCAAACCATTGTGGTGGTTGGAACTTAAGAAATGTAGACCAACTGTCAGTTCTACGGAGGCTAAGAAAGGGGAAACTGTTTGTTTTCCGGGAATCTGCTAGAAGGCCAAGCCCTTCCTGATGTGTAGCACTGGAATAGCAAAACGGAATTCACATGAACAGTATGGAAGCCATGTATTTCTCTTGAAGCTCTGGATACCCAGGATGGGACCTGTTTCTGAAGTGGCCAGTTCACATATGCAGTTCTTGTTTAGTAGGGTTTTAGCATGTGTAGACAGGAAGACGGGGAGTGTGGGTCTTAGGGGAGGGTTGGAGCCTCTGGTGGGGAGCACATCATGCTTATTCTGGGGTAGTTTGTCTACCTTTGGTCCCCACCCTGCACTCAGTTCTCACCTGTGACTCCTGGAAGCTGTCAGCAGGTGACAGTGGCCACACTCTGGGAAACCGTTTCAACTGGCCAACTAAACCAAGTGAGGGTAGCCAATAGGTCTCAAACCCTCAGTGAGTTACTCACTGTATGGGAAGACAGCCTCTGGCAGATTGAGGGGACAAGACCAGTCATAGGACCAATGGTCAAGAAGGCAGTTTCTGCACGTGCTGTAGAGAGAAGTGAGGGGCGGATGGGGCTTGTCCGCCTCTTCCTTCTAGGAGAAGGAAAACTCTGATCCACTGCCTTGAGGGATATCTTGGGGAGAAGAAGAAAAGGCTCAGGAGTAAGCCAGGGATCTGGAGTGGAGTCCATAAGACAGTTGAATGGCAGCTTGTGTACCTCCTTCCAGCAGTTCCTGCAGCCAAGCTGGTGCCAAATGTCTTGCTCTGCTTTCCTTTGGACCACATCAGTGAGGCCGAGAGGGGGGTCCTGTTGTCTGGGCTTCCCAGGACTTCCAGACACACTGCCCAGGTTTGTGCCCCAGGGAGGACACTTCAGGGCTGCTGAAGCAACGGTTTGACTTGAGACGCACTCCATTGTCCCTTAAGACAAACCGATGCCAACAACAAGAATACAGGAAGATATTTGCTGGGTTTTCTTGCTTGTGTTCCAGTCCACTTTGCAGGATTCTCAGATTTGACTACCGCTGTTTTGAGAGTAGGGGCTGTTGTTGTCTTCCTGCTTCTCATCCCACTTTGGAGCTAACAGAATAGCAAGAGCACCTGGCTCAGGTGTGGCGGACATAGGAAGTAGTTTTATGCTGACAAACTATACTGGCCTAGTTCGGGCAAAATATGGCTTACCAAGACTGCCTAACACCTGCAGATTGCACCTACCTTGCTCTACCCAAGGCTTCATAGAATCATAGAGTTGGAAGAGACCACAAGGGCCATCGAGTCCAACCCCCTGCCAAGCAGGAAACACCATCAGAGCACTCCTGACATATGGTTGTCAAGCCTCTGCTTAAAGACCTCCAAAGAAGGAGACTCCACCACACTCCTTGGCAGCAAATTCCACTGTCAAACAGCTCTTACTGTCAGGAAGTTCTTCCTAATGTTTAGGTGGAATCTTCTTTCTTGTAGTTTGGATCCATTGCTCTGTGCTTCTTAGCATGGCATGACAGCTAAGTTAAGAATTAACCTTGGCTTCAGATCGTAGTTAAGGAAGAGATTCCATTTTCCAGGATTATGATAAGCTAAACCTTGGCTCAGCTGCTACGCTGAGTTAAAAGGCTCAGGGAGGTGGCACGTTGCTGTTAAGCCATGGTTTAGAAACTCTGCAAATGTGAAGGTATGGTTTGTTTTTGGCTTGCAAGCCATGACTTGTTTGGCCACCCCACCACAGGTGCTTGCCAAGCTGCAAAGGAGCAAGACAAGAGCAGCTTTGGAGAAACAAGGCATGACTTGTTTTCTTGTCTGTTGAGCAAACCATAGTTAAAACAAGCTGTCTTTAGCATTCTGTGTGAATGTAGCCAACAGTTTTATCCTAGAACTATCTAAATGTGTTTCCTCCTATATCAAGTTCCATTTAGACAATTATATTTAAATAAAATACTAATAAAAAGCAGAGGTCCTTCTGAATATCTTGCAACAGCATTTGTAGTTAGCTGTAAGCATTTTGTCAGTTTTGGGTCAAGTGGTTTATGAGCAACTAATGCTACCAGCCTCTAGGCAAAGTATACATTTTCCCTGAGTGCTTGGTCTCTGCTACAAAATGCATGCAGGGCTTAGCAAGCAGCCCACAAATTCTATAATGAAGTAGTACATCCAGCGATTGGCCGTTTCATTTGAAAAATTGAAGGCTATTCATAATAATTAGACTGCAGTAAAACGTAAAATAGGGCAGAGTGTTTTTCGCTCTGCTTTTTAAAAGCAAATGTGTTTTTATACTTGGCGTTGTATTGGACACAAGTTATTGGAGCGTCACGGTCACTGGATTCTTTCCCATACACTGGAGATTATTGCGCTCATGTTTGTTGTGGCTTATTGTTTCAATTGTGTTCTCTTTTCTGAACTGCTCTGCGGGTCATGTTTGAGTGGAAAAGCAGGAAACAAATATTTTAATATTATTTGTGATCTTTTGCCTACTAGCATATGCGGCTAAGCTTCCCTAAACACAGTTTGCGTTTAACCTAAAGTCAGTAATGCTGGGGACATGCAGACACCCCAGAAGCTCCTGAGTGGCTTTCAGGAATTTTGGTTTGGAGAGAGGTGAGTGGAGATCAAGTGAGGTTTAGTGAGAGTGCTTAGAATTTACCTTGCCTATCACAACCCCCAGTATTCTTTGGGAATATTGACAGTTATAAACTAAGATTAAGGTGGTACGAGGTCAGAGTATTTACTCGAGTCTCATGCACCATCAAATCTAATGCGCACCTTAATTTTCAGAACCTTGAAACCAAAAAAAGCATTTGCTGGCAAATGTAAATGTGCCATCAAGTCTAATGTGCACCTTAATTTTCGCAACATAATTTGGCCAAAAAAGGTGAGCATTAGATTTGAATAAATTTGGTATACAGCTGTACCTTGGTTTGCGAACACCTTGCGACTCGGAACATTTCGGCTCCCTAACACCGCAAACCCGGAAGTGAGTGTTCTGGTTTGCGAACGTTCTTTGGAACCCGAACATCCAACACGGCTGACGCGGCTTCTGATTGAGTGCAGGAAGCTCCTGGAGCCAATTGGAAGCCGTGCCTTGGTTCCCGAATGTTTCTGAAAGTCAAATGGACTTCTGCAACGGATTCCATTTGAGTGTATACAGATCCAAGTCTGACAGACAAGAAGCTAGAAGAAATGCCTATCTTTCTCCGCATTTAATGTCTTCATTAAATAGGAAACCATTCAATATATAAAATAGACTGTGTTGTTAAAGACTTTACACCTCACAGGGTCATCTTTTTGGTATGGTTAGGGTACTCCAAATGTACCTGAAATGGAGCCATCCATTTTCTTTCCTGTTTGGGTGAGCCAGACTTAGAGCTGAAAAATGGGAAATGATAGGAAGTGACTTGTGATGCCATGAGCATTGGCTAATCAGTGCTGGGAGATACAAAGTCCTTCCGAACAGTTAAGTGTTTAAGGGCTGTTTGAACAGATTGCATGATTCAACAAAAGTTGTAACCAGCTTGGGGGGGGGGAGGGTTTTTAACCCCCCCCCAGCACAATTCTAAATCTTGTTCTCTCGCAGCACAGTGGTCCACATAGTCTGCCCAGCTTTTAAGAATGAGCAGCAGACAATAGATAGGAAGGCTGTACCAGCCTGTATCAACAGCCTTCCCACTCGGAAGTTGGGAATCCTGGATAATAGACGTTTAAAGCACTTACACAATGCAGACGCATTAAAGACTTCATATTAATTCAAACTGCTGTCCTCTATGCATATTAGCAGCAGAAATGTTACGAATATGGTATAAAATGGTGAGATTCCATACACCCTGCAGCTGCACTGCCAGCCCAAATTTGCAGTTGAAAAGATAGGTGTGCATGCCGGTGAGATCTGCACCCTGCTCCATCCATTGCTCAGGCTGCCGCTGGCTCCCCTCTAGACCAAGGCAGACCAAGCATTCTGCATCTGGGGGGCCAGAGGAGGCTGTGCTACCTCCTCCTTTTCGTTTTCGTAATGGGCACACCTGGCCCCCCCCTCTAGTCTGCTGCATGTTGCACTGGGGGGGGGAGAGAGACGAGAGTGGCCACTTCTCTCCGGAGAAGTAGGCGAAGGAGGGCAGCCCCCACCCTCTTGTCTGCACTGTGGGGGGGGGGGTTACTTTCTCAAGTGAGCAGGAGGTCAATGGAGGGAAGGAAGGGCAAGTCTGTCTACTTGTTTTGACTCTGGGCTTGCAGGGATAGAAGGAAACTGGATTTCATTAACTGGAGCAAAAATTGTCTTGATGTTCACATTTGGTCAGATCCAGGTAAAATGGTAACCATGTTGGGGTGTGTGTTTCTTTTTCCGTGTTTAAATGCATTTTCTACTTCAGTTACCACTGGGTGACACTGTTTGACTAGATACTTCTGGCTTCCAAAAAGCTTTGTATTTGTCTTTAAAGATGCTGTCGTGCCATAGCCTGATAACTTAACCCATACTAGTTCTAATCTTAAAAGTACCCAGAATAATTCCACGGATGCATTATGGAACATCTTTTCAGTGGTAAAATTCTGAAGTAAACAAGCTACGAGAGAGAGAGGACATTCTCTACAGATGTAATGTTCCTCTGCATGTTAATGAATTTCTGATTAATTTTTGGGAACAGGAGACTATCATTTGGAGATGTGTAATGCTGTTTGTGTTTCCTTCCTCTTCCAGTCCTCCTGTTATGCATGGTTTCAAGTTTCATAAGCGATGTTGACGGTGCTTGCTGCATGGCTATTTACTTCGGGGTGCATTTTTATAATCGCTCATATTTTTTAGAAATAACTGTTATCATACTGTAGTCCAGGGCGTGATCCCAGTTATGTGGACCCTGAATAAGAGGTTCAGTTTCAAGCAAGACCTCTTCCACTTTGATTTATTGTTTTTCTATGCTGTATTTCATTCAATTGAATCCCAAAGCAATACAATAAATAACAATAACATCATAAACCAGAACAGAACATCACAAATGCAGCATAGATCATATGAAATAATTAACAAATCATCAATAAAACAATTACAATTGATAAAGCACTCTTTCAGCCATGGCCTTCCTCACTTAACTTCAGATTGCTAACTGACCCCCCCGCCCCCCCGCCCCCAGGCTCTTTTGCCTTTAGCTACAGACCATTTGCAGAAACGAGCTGGGGAGCAATTCACTCTTCACAAAACTTAAGAAAGTTAAAATTGCTTCCCTCTAACGCTGCCTCTTGAATCTTTTATGTTTCGACTCTTCTTTAAACAAGCATGACTTTACTGGCCTTGTAAGAGCAAAGCAGTCTGTACATGCTCAGAGGCACAGTTTGCTCTGACTCCAAGTGAACTGGCAGGTAAGCAGAGCAAGAGGCAGGTGAATGAGATGGCTGAGTGAGTTGAGTGGGCAAGCATAGGGAGGTGAGAGGTTTGTGGCCTCCGCTCACCTCTTCGCCTGAAAAAGTTGACACAGAAATAAATTCTAAATAAGCTTCATTGTTTAGATCAGCCTTCTTCCCCAACCTGGGGGCGAGCTGCAGTCGAAAACCTCTCAAGGGCACCAGATTGGGGAACCTGGCTTAGAAGGGCTTTAGGGAAGGTCTGTGAAAGACACCTCATTGCTTTCCCTGACGATTTCTCACTCAGCTACCCCTGAGAAAATTGATCTATCTCAGCTTGAACCGTGGCTGAGCTTTCTTTGTGATGGACGCACCCGTCTTTTTGGCCTCAGCCTGAGCAGGGCAGCTTGCAAGGGGGAATATTGGGGAATCCCAAGCAATTTATTCTCATCTGTTAGCTTCTGCACAAGTAAAGGTCCTGCAGTGAATGTTGGAGGAGGAAACCTGACTCCCCATTGAAATGCTGCAGTGAAGTGGAAAAGACAGCACCATAGTCTGTCACAGCCCGAGTCTCAAAACTAGTGAGTGAGCTTCTCTAACATATATGGTCCTGAGAAGCTTTTGCATAATTGTTTGAGGTAGCTTCTCTTTTATATTTCCCAGTGATGTGCACCTTGTGGGAAATTTTCCTATGCAAATTAAGGTAATTTGAATTAAAGATTGAGTTATCATTGGGGGAAATTATGATGGTCTAGAAGAGTGATCTAATTTGGCAGGTTTATTTTACACAGGAAACTGAATTATACAGAGTCCCTCCCTGGAGATGCCAGCAGTGGAACCTTGCAAAGCAGTGGAACCTTGCTTCTTCTGCTGAGCTGCAGTCCTTCCCCTGACTTTTAGCAAAGCTGAAAACTGGGAAGTTGCTGTGTTTGCCTAATACTGTATTTGCAATTGGCACCCATTCATTGTTACTAATAAAGTTATGAAATGGATTTTTTTTCACAGAAAAATAAAGTGTGGGAAAACATTTCACCCATATCATTGGTCTTTCCCAGCAAAGGATTTGCAGGATATTAAATCTTTTACATGGGGTGATTAGTGCATTTGTTGCTTTAGTACCTGAGACCCACTGAAGAAATATATTTCTAAGTAAGAAGACAGGTGCAACCAAGAGACTCCCCCGCCAGTTAGATGAGCTCCCTCTGCCTTTCTAGCTTGTAGGAATTAAGCTCGGGGCTTCCCAGCCTGCACGTCCCTAATTAATGGTTCCATTAACTGCTGGAGTAACTCTTGCCACGTTTCCGGGATCTGACAGGGCACCCAACTGACCAGGCTTGCCACCAGTCACATTCTGGGATAATCCTCTGGTTTTATATTTTGGGCATGGCTGGCCTAATTGCATGTCTCTTGCCAGGCTCGTAAAGTTCACCTTAGTTTCCCCCATTAATTCTACACGGAGTTGAGTGGATTTGTGAGAAAAGCCTCCTGCTGTAGACAAGAAAAGGTAAACAGTAATTAACAGCAAATGTTTGTGCAGAGACTGGGCGATTTAAAAGAACTACAACAGGCTAGTGCAGCCCAGTGTCTTGCGGACTCAATGGAAACCTCTGTTGCTTGACTTGTGGCATTGCTACGGCACAGCCCAACAGTCCAGCACATGCAACAAAGGGTGTTTTAATGGGCGCATGATCTCCTGCACATGGCTCCTTGTCCCTCTGGCAATTAGCTTACTCCCTATACAATTGGGAGTTAGGAGTACATGAGGTTTACAAAGTACAAGAAAGAATTTCTGATGTTGGGAAAAGGAAAAGCATCCATGAGGCTAAAGTGACTTACACATCTTTGCATGCTCACAGTATAAATAATTGTATCTCTACCATGAGAGAGAGAGAGCGCGCGCTGTGTGGGAGCTCACTTGTCGTTGCTTCAGATTCTTTTATCAAAAGTATGGAAAGAGAATGTAAATTATTTGCATGTTCTCTACTTCTGGTTCTGTGCATTCTCTGTCTTGGTGTTTGTTGCTTTGGAGTGTTCACAATTCTGCCTTATCTTTTAAACCTTATGGCGACCCTGTAAAGTGGGTTAGGGAGAGGTTCTCGGATGTGGTAAGATCCAGCCTCCCCGAAATGTCTTCTCCCTCTGCAAATCAGATGTCTTCATTTGTAGCTCAGTCTCTTAGCCAGTGGCTATAGGTCTGCATAGGGGAGAAGCATTTATGTTAGAATTTTATTTATTTGGCGTGTTTGTCCTATTGACAAGCCGCCTTAAGCAGAACGGAGGGAGGCAGCCAGTAAAGCCTTTGGCTCAATAGAAATCCTCTTGCGCAATGGGGCAGATATTTTTTTGGGGGGGGGGGGGTGCTTGGAAGAACTGCAGCAGGAGAGGAATCCTTGCTGCAGGAGTGGAGGCCCTCTTAGGATACATTGGATCTCACCCAGAATCTCCTAAAATGTTACAGACTTTTGCTTTAGGCTCAATGAGCGGAGGTTCTGCAAGCCCTTAAACATGGAACAAGGCATATTTCTAGCTTAATAATTAAACTGGGCTGGTGGTTCTCTGATATTTACATTCCTTAAATAACCAAAAGCGAAACCACACCCTGCTGTTGGCTTAACTGTGGCTGTAGTTTTTCTGCTTTGGTGAGTTACTATGAATTGTGTTATTTTATGGTGAAATGTCTGAAACTCTAAACTTCCCAATACACATAACTGAGACTCAGGAGTGGTGGTAGTTCTTTTAAAAACTTATTTAGCTTGTCTCTGAGAGACTCTTGTACTGTAAAATGTTTACCTTTTGAAATGAGTCCCACATGCTTATTCCAACAAGAAAGATTTTCAAGTGATGGACAGAATTCAAGAAGCATAGAATTAAGGGAGTTGGGATATCATGGGGCAACTAAGCACAGTGGTACCTCGGATTAAGAACTTAATTCGTTCTGGAGGTCTGTTCTTAACCTGAAACTGTTCTTAACCTGAAGCACAACTTTAGCTAATGGTGCCTACTGCCGCCGCGCAATTTCTGTTCTCATCCTGAAGCAAAGTTCTTAACCCAAGGTACTATTTCTGGGTTAGCGGAGTCCGTAACCTGAAGCATCTGTAACCTGAGGTACCACTGTATTTTTTCCAAATTTCAAAGCTGCACCTCTGGGATGTTTTGGAGTAAAGTGTTTGCACTATTTGGTACTACTTTTACTCAGAGGAGGTGAGGGCTGACTTGTTAAACTCCAGAGGACTCAAAAAGATAATGGAAGACTCATGCTTCTTCAAAGGCTACAAGATGACATTCAGCTAAGTTCTACTCTGGTGTAGACCCATAGAAATATTATCCTTGGGAACGGTGTGGTAAAATAAAAGTGGAAAATAAAAGAAGCTATGTCTCTATTTCCTGGTTGTTTTCGATTGTTGGGGCCTTTAATTGTTTCTGTCTGCAGGAGCGGATGCTGTTTGCAGCTCCCCCCAGGCGTCTAGTTGGCCCTTGTGAGAACAGGATGCCGGACTAGACGGGCCCCTGGCCTGGTCCCACAGGGATGTTCTTCTGAATCAGCTTATTTATTCTCTGTTCACTTAGTCTGTTCATATAGTTCCCTTTGTGCCAAAGCACACAAGGCTGCTATTGGTTTGCAGTCCGAGGGAGCAAAAGGTACAAAAGGAACTATGCAACTTGTTTGGGGATGTTTATAACTTGAAGTATGGTAAAAGAGCCTAGGAACCCATGATGCTGCCTTATAGCAAATCAGATTATTGGGCCATCTAGCAAAATAGTGTCTCTGGTGACGCAGTAGCTCTCCAAAGTCTCGGGGCCACTTTTCCCGCTCTTGCTGGCTGAGATTTTTTTAACGGGATGTGCCAGGGATTCAGTCGGGCACCTTTCCCTGTGACGACTGTGTTTTGCTGCTCGCAATGGCATGAACGCTTGCAATGTCTGAAGTTGCTCCAACTCCTGCATAGGATGGAGTCCTGAATAGTAAAATGTCCTCCATTTTATTTTATTAATGTTTTTTTCATGGTGTTTTGGTCAGAAGCATTTTAGGAAAGATGTTGATTCTATTTCAAGAGAGAGCCTATGTAAGAAATGTAAAAACATTGCTTTGAGATCATATTAGTATATACACAAGCTAAAATAAAATTATTACTTATTAAATTTGTATGCCGCCCTTCATCTGAAGATCTCAGGGTGGTTCACAGCATAAAAGTACAAGATAAAAACACAAACTACATAATAAAAACAGGAACAAAAACAAACCAATAACACCCCCCCAACACATTTCAAAGGGTATAGGATGTTAATCAGCCCAAGGACTGGTTGAAGAGCAATGTTTTCACTCGGCACCTAAATATATGTATAATGGAGGCACCAGGCAAACCTCCCTAGAGAGATCCTTCCACAAACGGGGAGCCACTACAGAAAAGGCGCGTTCGCATGTTGCCACCTTCTGGACCTCACCTGGAGGAGGCACACAAAGAAGGGCCTCAGATGAGCATCACAGGGCCCAGGTTGGTTCATATGGAGATAATAATGGTGTAAGGGCCCTTTGTTCTCTGGGTTTGCAGAGTTGTACCTCGGGGTTGGCTGGGTTGGCCCCCACCAAGGGCACAGGCTGGGTGTGTGAGCAAAAATTGCAAAGAAAGACAGAGCTGGCAATTGCCAGGGGCCCAAGGGACGGGGTGGAGGCAGTGGCTGAGGCAGCTCCTTGTCAAGGGTGCAAGGTGGCCAAGGGATGCCTCTTAAGGTTTGCAAAGGATAGAGGTGCACATACGGCAGCCACGTACTTCGTTCAGTGATAGACAGCCTCTGCTCTGTCATCTCCCCTCTCTGCTCCCAAATGAGCCAAATGGCTTGGGGTCTCCTACTTGCCTCACGCTGTAAATACCCGCAGGCCTCTGAAAGCAGTACAGGGTTTTGGAAGAAGCTTATAGGAAACATAAACAGTTCCTATGGTGGCATACCCACCAAGTGCCCAGGGCTCAGGATTGCTGCAAAGTCCATAGCATTTTCTGTGGGGAAGCGGCTTCTCCCCAGGCTCCGTGTTCTTGAAGAATTCCAAGAGAAAGTCCCCAGCATAATCCTCTGCCATTTGTTCCCTGTTGAATAAATTAATCCTTTTAAAAGCTCAACTAGTTAATAGGCCAGGTGGCAGCCCTACCCATATGAGAGGATATTTGATTCACGTTTTCTTGTTCCTAATAAAATGGATTGAGCTAAGGATGTTTTCTGTGCCTTACAGATAACTCAAGTGAGGATTCTGAATCCAGAGAGCCTTCTCTCATTCCCAGAAATATAATGGCTGAACCAGATTACATAGATGAAGACAATCCTGAGCTAATTAGACCCCAGAAACTAATTAATCCTGTGAAATCATCCCGGAATCATCAAGATCTTCATAGAGAGCTCCGCATGAATCAGAAAAGGTAAGAAATAAGGTGGTAAATTCTGTAGCTAACAGAACTTTAATTTCCAGTCACGAATGAACAGGCACCTTAATCCTGGAAATTACCAACTGTCCTTGTGCCCTTTCAGCTAATTCTTAATTTGAACTACAGCTGCCGTTGAGGGCACAGTATATTTAGGCTTCTTCCTTCAATACAGACCCATGCATGTTTGTGGCTGCACAAAGGAGTTGTATTGGGGAGGGGAGCACGAGCCTGGGTGAGGCGCGCTCTCGATCTCCCCACAGCTCATCTTTGGGGTCATGTTAGTTGAGTATGTGTGTGTACCCTACTATTTCATAGAAAAATACCAAAGCGGCTTACAATAAGACATAAAACCGTGCAATAAACTGTACAAAACTTGGGTGCAGCTATGTCATTTAACATACAGTTATGTGCACTCCACTTCCCTGAGCCGTGAGAAGTGCCAGGTGGCACGACATACTCCTTCGTAAGGAGGAAACATAAGCCACTTGACATAAGCACAGGTTGCATGCAGGCACCGTGCAGCACCACGGCTACAACTCCACGGCATCATGAAGATCCTGTCGCCACCCGTGAGGCAGTTCTGTCTCTCTCACTTCCTCGCCTTGACTGTGCCAACAATCTCTTGGTCCCCTTTGCTTGGGGGAGTTCCCTATCTAAGCATTTCAAAGTGGCCCAGGATGACGGAGCAGCTCCTTGGCGCTTCAGCTCCCTGGACAGACATGGGTGGAGGATCCTGGGCAATCGCCACTCCTCTTGTCTAAGCCAGAGATGGCCTTAAGGCAAACCTATGGCATTTGTCCTCTTCACTGATAGCAAAGTTCAGAACAGTGCACATTTTGCTGCATCTTTGAACGTGCCCTGGAATAAGGGTCCAGTAGGCCTGCAACTTACAGTTCCATGGTGGGTGGGTTTACCAAAGTCATTTCCCCCAGAACCTCACCCCCTTTTAAGTTTTGAATACCTTTTGCCACACACATAAAGCTGAATTTGCACAAGCTAAGTGTGCAAGTCATGGGCTTTCTGAATATCTCATACAGTCAGGGAGTCATTCTTTGGAAAAATAGAAGAGACTTCTTTGGCATAAATCATACTGTATTTATAGCATTAATCTAAAAAGAACTATGAGAGTATTTTCAAGGGAAGAAGTTTGGTCCAATGTGCAGTAGGAGCAGTAACTCTCAACCCCCCTTAATCAAAGAAGCGTATTGCAGAGTAGATGAAATGAGACAAATCCATGAAGTTCTGTGTTGTCTGATCCTTCCTTTTATGTCTTTATAATTTAGTTTCATGGGGCGTACAGTGACCTTACCTCCAAGTTAAGCTTCTTTAATAAAGTTTACTTCTGTAGCATCCATACTTGTCAGGCTGTTGACCGTTCATGAAACTGATATTCTTCTAAACTTCATCTCAGTTGTCGCATGGTGAGAAAATCAATAGCAAGACCTTCGAAATTCTGTTCAGTCTGCAGAAAGTGTATGCTTATTATAGAGAGCCTCAACATTTTGCTTGTGGAAATTGATAGGACTTGGTTTGGTAGGACTATTTAAAACAGGAAACGAAAAGAGTGTTTTTCTTTTTGAACAGTTGTTGTTTAGTCATTTAGTCGTGTCTGACTCTTTGTGACCCCATGGACCAGAGCACGTCAGTCACTCCTGTCTTCCGCTGCATGTTGGTAGCTTCGAGAACACTGTCCAACCATCTCGTCCTCTGTCGTCCCCTTCTCCTTGTGCCTTCCATCCTTCCCAGCATCAGGGTCTTTTCCAGGGAGTCTTCTCTTCTCATGAGGTGGCCAAAGTATTGGAGCCTCAGCTTCACGATCTGTCCTTCCAGTGAGCACTCAGGGCTAATTTCCTTAAGAATGGATGCGTTTGATCTTCTTGCAGTCCATGGGACTCTCCAGAGTCTCCTCCAGCACCATAATTCAAAAGCATTAATTCTTTGGCAATCAGCCTTCTTTATGGTCCAGCTCTCACTTCCATACATCACTACTGGGAAAACCATAGCTTTAACTATACGGACCTTTGTTGGCAAGGTGATGTCTCTGATTTTTAAGATGCTGTCTAGGTTTGTCATCGCTTTTCTCCCAAGAAGCAGGCATCTTTTAATTTCGTGACTGCTGTCACCATCTGCAGTGATCATGGAGCCCAAGAAAGTAAAATCTTTCACTTCCTCTGTTTCTTCCCCTTCTATTTGCCAGGAGGTGATGGGACCAGTGGTCATGATCTTAGTTTTTTTGATGTTGAGCTTCAGACCATATTTTGCACACTCCTCTTTCACCTTCATTAAAAGGTTCTTTAATTCCTCCTCACTTTCTGCCATCAAGGTTGTGTCATCTGCATATCTGAGGTGGTTGATATTTCTTCCGGCAATCTTAATTCCGGTTTGGGATTCATTCAGTCCAGCCTTTCGCATGATGAATTCTGCATATATGTTAAATAAGCAGGGAGACAATATACAGCCTTGTCATACTCCTTTTCAAATTTTGAACCAATCAATTATTCCATATCCAGTTCTAACTAGCTTCTTGTCCCATAGAGATTTCTCAGGAGACAGATGAGGTGATCAGGCACTCCTATTTCTTTAAGAACTTGCCATAGTTTGCTGTGGTAGACACAGTCAAATGTGAATTTTGAACAATGTGTTTTGAAGAGTTAGCCAAAGGCAAACTGTTGTTTGCTGGGAAAGGACACTGACTGTATTTTTCAACATTCTGGATCAAATCTGATTTAGTCTTGTAATCTTACATTTGTATCCTGCAGTTCAGAATGAAGATGGCAATCTTTTGGTGTCCATCTGCCTGTTCCAAAATGTCAAGTTAAAGGAAATCTTTCCCTGATCTGAACCGTCCCCCCACCATGAGGGCCCCCCAAATGGCAAGGCAGCCCTTTCCCCCCATCTCCTTACCTGGGAGAACGACAGGTGAGCATTCAAGGAGACCTGGATGCCTCACACTGACTGAGCCCTCAGCAGCTGTTACTGGTTGAGTGGGCTGCAAACTGGGATGGCTTTCTAACTCTCCAGTGGAAGTTTATGTGCTTCAGAATGGACCTGTTCACACAAACCCTAAAGGAAATCTGGGGAAAGACAGCCAAAGTAGTTTTGGAAGCCACATCTCGGCTGAGAAGCTCTTGGTTCTTGGAGCTGATTCCTCTTTCCACATTCCTTCCTTATTGCTTCTTCTGCGCCAGGGCCTTCTTCCGCAGGGCCTGCTGTCTCGCCTGTCTTCACAGTGGATCTAGCTTGTCACCTGGGGTTGAAGTGGTGGTGCTGTTGTTGCTGTGCTTGTAACATTTATATTCCGCCTTTCCTCCAAGGAGCTCAAGGTGGTGTACATAGTCCCCCCCCTCCATTTTATCTTCACAACAACTCTGTGAGGTGGGTTAGGTTGAGAGGCTGTGACCGGCTGAAGGTCACCCAGGGAGGTTCACAGTCAAATGGGAACCAGCAACCTGGCCTCCCGGCTGCAGTGATGCACTTGCTTTGAACACACACAAAGCAGTCATTGCCTGTATCAGATGCCACCTGGCCCCCACATTTTCATGGACTTATACTTCTGTTGCCCACCTAGCAGTTCGAAAGCACCCTTAAGTGCAAGTAGATAAATAGGTACCGCTTTATAGCGGGAAGGTAAACGGCGTTTCCGTGTGCTGCTCTGGTGCCGGTTCGTCAGAGCAGCTTGTCACGCTGGCCACGTGACCCGGAAGTGTCTGCGGACAGCGCTGGCTCCCGGCCTCTAGAGTGAGATGAGCGCACAACCCTAGAGTCTGTCAAGACTGGCCCGTACGGGCAGGGGTACCTTTACCTTTACCTTATACTTCTGTTACAAAGGAGGAAACTGGCTCCTTCTGCCTCTGGGGGGGCCCATCAAAGCCTGACACCTTTCCTGGGAAATAGGGTCCAAGGTCTCCCTAGTGAACCCCTCTCCACAGTTGTTTAAGCGCAGGTTCACAGGGCTAGGGGGAGACTGCAGCAAGGAGGAGGAATACAAAGTGTTCCCTTTCTGCCCTAATTTTGCATCCGGTATGTTGCTGGCCTTGAATTCAGATCTACCCAGCCACTAGTAGTTCTTCCTAAAGAGTGATCAAGTTGACACAGAAGTGGAAGACAGCAATCATGGATTTCCTATTATAAAGCAGCACTGAGTTTTCAGTGGGGCACATTTCTGTTGTTCTAAAGTAAATGGTAAAGGTAAAGGGACCCCTGACCATTAGGTCCAGTCGTGGCCGACTCTGGGGTTACGGCGCTCATCTCGCTTTACTGGCCGAGGGAGCCAACATACAGCTTCCGGGTCATGTGGCCAGCAGGACTAAGCTGCTTCTGGCGAACCAGAGCAGCGCACGGAAACGCTGTCCTAAAGTTCTTGATCATAAAAAGACAACTTATTTCCCCCCTTTGTTTGTGATGTGAATGTTATTAGCATCTTCCTTTATAATTTATAATAAAGCAAGGAAAGGGATAAAAGTTGAGTGATGACTGTGATAGCCAGAACAAGTAGATTTTTGCCTATTAATCTTCATGGCCAGTGTGACATTTTATCTTTCTGTCTGTACCACACAATTTGTCAAGTTGGGCAAATCTTTTTATCTCCTTTGGCTAAAACTCTCTTAAATGCCTTATTTTAACACACAAAAGTATTATTCAAAGGAGTCTGAAAAGTACACTCTTTTCATTGCCAATATAGTAAGAGAAAGTTGGCAGTGAGTTATGCCCTACTTTAATTAACGGGATTAAGCATCAAAGCCCAACTACCACCCTGGAAATTTTTTATTAAAGACCTAGGGAAACTATTTTAAATTCAGTTTTCATTCAGTTTCAAAGCAGATTCAGGTGGAACTGAACTGCATCCACATAATAGCATAAAGTCCTTTAAGTAATCCAGAGACTTTTGTTTCCCATACAAAGACATCCAATTACGCAGTAAATCTCTCTTCAGTGCTTCCATTTTTCTTATTAACAGCAGAGTATATAATTCTAGATTTCCCCTAATTTTCATTGAAATAGCAGTTTGTGGCGAAGCACATTGCAGACTTCTGGTACTAGGCTTCCTTTTTTAATTCTTGATTTTTATTTTAAAGGGAAAATGGGCTGCTCTATGGAGTGTTTTTTATAATAAATTTTTATTAGTTTTTAACAATGTATAAACAAAATGGTTGATGGATAACAGTCATCAGGATGCTCATTTGAGTATTTTAGGAAGGAGTACCAAGCTTAAAAAAAATTGTCCACATCAGATATATTATTCAAGGCATGTACCCTCTTCGTTTGTTTTTTAGATAGGGCAGTTGTTCAAACATTCTGTCACCATCGTGTGATATTTTCAGATGTTCAAGTCCTTTCCAATTCTGTGCTGTAACTAATTGCCAGAAGAAAAGTCTGGAATCATTGAATCATAGAATTTTAGCGTTGGAAGGAACCCCGGGGGTCATCTAGTCCAACCCTCTGCAATGCAGGAATCTCAATTAAATCAAACATGACGGATGGCCCTCCAACCTCTGCTTCAAAACCTCCAAGGAGGGAGAGTCCACCATGGGCCAAGGGAGTCCGTTCCACTCTTCTGACAGCTCAAATTATCAGAAATAATTCCTTAATGTAATAAAGCAAGGAGATCTTCCTTAAAAATAGTTAACGAGCCCAAAATTGGATTGCACAGTACTTTCTGATTTGCAATATTACTTATTTCCATGAATACAATGCCTTCCCAGAATGGCTGTATTAGTTCATGCGTCTCTGAAGCTGCCCTTGAGCACCACCTAGTGACAAGCACCCCGGTGGAACATGCATCTCCCTCTCTACAAACCGACTTTGAAGCTCTGGGAGTTGGCTGCTCTTGCAGAGATGCCACTTGGCTCAGGAAGGCTGCTCTTTGGCTTCCGGGACTCAGGGAGGTCACACGTTAGGGATTGCGCTACCAGAACCACTCATAAGGCCAGCTTTTCAGAACAGGATTACATAGCATTGGTTTCCCAAAATATCATGGAAGATCAGAAGTTAGTCAAATCACCTAGCTTCTATGATAGTGGAAAATAAAATATAATACTGTGTTGTTGTTTAGTCGTTTAGTCGTGTCCGACTCTTCGTGATCCCATAGACCAGAGCACGCCAGGCACTCCTGTCTTCCACTGCCTCCCGCAGTTTGGTCAAACTCATGCTGGTAGCTTCCAGAACACTGTCCAACCATCTCGTCCTCTGTCGTCCCCTTCTCCTTGTGCCCTCCATCTTTCCCAACATCAGGGTCTTTTCCAGGGAGTCTTCTCTTCTCATGAGGTGGCCAAAGTATTAGAGCCTCAGCTTCAGGATCTGTCCTTCCAGTGAGCATTCAGGGCTGATTTCCTTAAGAATGGATGCGTTTGATCTTCTTGCAGTCCATGGGACTCTCAATCAGCCTTCTTTATGGTCCAGCTCTCGCTTCCATACATCACTACTGGGAAAACCATAGCTTTAACTATACAGACCTTTGTTGGCAAGGTGATGTCTCTGCTTTTTAAGATGCTGTATAGGTTTGTCATCGCTTTTCTCCCAAGAAGCAGGCATCAACAGTGATCATGGAGCCCAAGAAAGTAAAATTTCTCACTGCCTCCGTTTCTTCCCCTTCTATTTGCCAGGGGGTGATGGGACCAGTGGCCATGATCTTAGGTTTTTTTTTATGTTGAGCTTCAGACCATATTTTGCGCTCTCCTCTTTCACCTTCATTAAAAGGTTCTTTAATTCCTTCTCACTTTCTGCCATCAAGGTTATCTCATCTGCATACCTGAGGTGGTTGATATTTCTTCCGGCAATCTTAATTCCGGCTTGGGATTCAACTGTAGCTTCTTGTCCCACTTACAGATTTCTCAGGAGACAGATGAGGTGATCAGGCACTCCCATTTCTTTAAGAACTTGCCATAGTTTGCTGTGGTCGACACAGTCAAAGGCTTTTGCATAGTCAATGAAGCAGAAGTAGATGTCTTTCTGGAACTCTCTAGCTTTCTCCATAATCCAGCACATGTTTGCAATTTGGTCTCTGGTTCCTCTGCCCCTTCAAAATCCAGCTTGCACTTCTGGGAGTTCTCAGTCCACATACTGCTTAAGCCTGCCTTGTAGAATTTTAAGCATAACCTTGCTAGCGTGTGAAGTGAGCGCAATTGTGCGGTAGGTAGTTGGAGCATTTTTTGGCACTGCCCTTCTTTGGGATTGGAATGTAGACTGATCTTCTCCAAACCTCTGGCCATAATACTGTGGGTAAGAATATAAGAGAACGCCAGCACCCATAAGGCCTTTCCCAATAGAACTACTTACTGAAGGACCAGGCTGGTTGGTGTCCCCCCCCCCCCCCCCGGCCGGCCAGCTGATTGACTTCATTATTTATACAGCTTTTATTCATTCTTATTGTCACAATGTTTTTAGCTGTTTTTTTAGGGTTGCCTGGAAAGCAACATATAATTACATACATTAGAGTAAATATGCATCAGTATGTAAATGGCATCAGTGAAGCAAAAAACCACATCAAGGGTTTTCTTGTAGCGGAGGTTTAGTGACCTATTTCCTAAGTCCATATAGGTAAAATAGATCACGCACTATAACCCCTTATTATTTTTGCATAGTAATTTTGGATTTCAGAGTGTCTCTAATGGTGACACTCTTCGTTTATATTTCTATAAAATACTTGCCTCTTCTTTTTTGAAAGGTAGTGATGTTGCTGTCTTTTGCTGCCTAAATAAACTCTTTCCCTCCCCAAAACTCAAGGAAATGAGGATTTTGAAGATCATTAGGGTGCACGCTTCTGCCTTTACAGCAAACGTTGACAAACTCCAAATGCGTTCTGCTCGTTGACAGAGCCACTGAAATAGGAAAAATGCATAAACATTATGAAGATTCAGTCATAAACCGTTGTTCAAAAACTAGTTCTACCAGAGCAGTAATCTTTAAATTTCACATTGGCTTTTGAGAATTGGACATGGAACTATTCTGGGTGTTAAGAGGGCGCATTCTGCGATGCATGCTCAGTTGGACTGCACTACTGGCCAGATATTTGAGGCTTTGTCTCATCACTGTCGCTTTTGCCCAGAGGAAATCCAGCACTTCTCTGAAACTCTGTGATACAGGGTAATAGTGGAAGTGATTTATATTTGGGGTGGGGGAACGGGGGAGCGGGGGGGGGGGGAGCAGGATGACGCCTTCTTCACCAATTTGCTCCCCAATTTTCTTGGTGTGAAATCAAGAGAATGAGCTAAACATGTATCCAAGGACTGAATTCGGCTCCACGTTTATGTTGCCTGAAGATCAGTAATATCTTTTCTCTTTTCATAGGGAGCATGCAATGGCTTAACTTGGGAATTTGAGAGCAAGAGAGAAATGGAACCAGTATTTTATCGTTTGAAAAGACCTGGTGGACTGCTCTGTCCCATGAGACTAGGGCCCTTCAGGATTTAACCTCCTTCCGTCGGGCCTGTAAGACAGAGCTATTCCGCCTGGCCTTTAATTTGAATTCAGCCTGATCTTTTATTTCCCTTCCCTTCTCTTCCCTCCCCCTCCCCTTTTATGAAGATCACCCACTCTGAGACCCCACAGCTAATTCTCCCCTGGCCTCCTCGCTGGCCCAAGTAGGACCAATTCAGCCAGCTAGCCCTGGGGATTATCTAATTGGTTTTTGAATTTTATTGTTATTCATGTTTTTATATTGTAGTTTATGCTGCTTTTATAATTAAGTGTTTTAAAGTGTTTTAAATTTGTTGTTAGCTGCCCTGAGCCCGGTTTTTGAACCGGGAAGGGCGGGGTATAAATAAAATTATTATTATTATTATTATTATTATTATTATTATTATCATCATCATCATCATCATCATCAAAGTTTCATGTCTCCAAACAACTTTGGTGTGATTATCCGTATCCTAGATTGGGAAACTGATCTCAAATTTGAACAGCTTAGCTAAGATGATACAGTCAAATGGAGAGCAGCCCCACATGGCTGCAACATTTAGTCAATCAGTTGGATTGATCTAAAAACATTTTTCATTCAAAAGGTACTCCCAAATAAACCTATTTACAAAAACATATGTTGCAGACAATTTTTTAAAAAGTACTTACTGGTGTTGGTTGCAGGTTATTTTCTTGGGCGGGATTGCTTTTTCTAAGGCTCTGCATGTTACAAATGTATGCATGTTATCTGAAAACAAACAATTTCTTAAAACTATTCATATGAAGATTTGTGCTGATTTAGTCAAATAAATGTATATGATGGCCTGATTTCTCACCGGATGGCTGTCCTCTAATATAATGGGAATATGTCATGTCAATAAGTAACTCAACGCAGAACCCTCTCCCTTCTTTTGATAGGGGTCTTGCTCCTCAGAATAAGCCGGAGCTGCAAAAGGTGCTGGAAAGACGAAAAAGAGACCAAGTTATCAAGCAACAGAAGGAGGAGGAGGCACAAAAGAAGAGATCGGACCTGGAAATAGAGCTACTCAAACGGCAGCAGAAATTAGAACAGGTAAGAGGGCAGGAAAATGGTATAGAATAGACTCGAGGAGCTTCTCTTCTCTTTATTATAAAGGTAAAGGGACCCCTGACCATTAGGTCCAGTCGTGACCGACTCTGGGGTTGCAGCACTCATCTCGCTTTACTGGCCGAGGGAGCCGGCGTACAGCTTCCGGGTCATGTGGCCAGCATGACTAAGCCGCTTCTGGTGAACCAGAGCAGCACACAGAAACGCCGTTTACCTTCCCTCTAGAGCGGTACCTATTTATCTACTTGCACTTTGATGTGCTTTCGAACTGCTAGGTTGGCAGGAGCTGGGACCGAGCAACAGGAGCTCACCCCATCGCGGGGATTCGAACCGCCGACCTTCTGATTGGCAAGTCCTAGGCTCTGTGGTTTAACCCACAGCGCCACCCGCGTCCTCTCTTTATTATAGATTTCATTAAAAATTACATACCAAAACCTCAAAGCGGTTTACAAAAAAGATAAAATAATAAAATTATCTAGATCAGATTAATGAATTCAGTACCACAGAATGCACTGGAAACTCTTTCAAAATATAAAAAGAAACTGTGATTGTTAGTTCCGCAGCTGACTTTTGAAAACAATTGGTAATACTAGGTTTAAAAATTATAGGAGAAGATTCATGGAAGAGAAGTGTTGCAAATATTGATCAGGCAAGATGATCAGGGAATGTGTTCTCGCTCTCTCAGGGTGACCCTGGAAAGTTGGAAGTGAGGGACCAGGTAGTGAAATAGACCCAGATCCTCCTTGCGCATGTATGCTGCCATCGAGGCTGAGCCTTGCACATTAACAAAGTGCTGAATCTGGTTACGCTCACTGCTTACAATTCATATTTTGAGAAATGCCACTCTGCTCATTTCTTCCTTCTTTTTTAAAATTGATCTCTTTTTGTTTTAAGCTTGAACTTGAAAAGCAGAAGATCCAGGAGGAGCAAGAGAATGCACCTGAATTTGTAAAAGTGAAAGGCAATTTGAGGAGGACAGCGCAAGAAGCTGCAGAAGCTGAAGCCTCCTAGAAGAAGGGCCCTTTCAGACTTCAAGCCTTTCCCCCAGTGGCTGCTGCGGAGAGGCGTCTGCAGGACCTCTCACCCAGTTGCCCTGAGTCTGGGTGGAAAATGAGCTCGTACGTGGAGGTCAACGTCTGGAACATGTGCAGATGAACATGTACACACCAGATAAAACTCGCCAATAATAATGTGGAGATCAGAGGATAAACAAGCAACCTGTTGTCAATTTAAAGTAGTTGACCCCGGGAGGGAAACAGATTTGAGTTGTTGACATTGCTTGCTTATTCCTGATCCGAGCTTAGTGGGCATCTCAGGCTAGTGTGTGTTATTTTTTTTGTATTTCCCACTTTGTGAAGTTCTGCTATGCAGAAGAGCAAAGTGTTCTGAAACCACTCCTTGGCACATTTTGTGTGGAAACCCTCCTTCAGAAATGATCCCCCCCCCCCCCGCTCCACAGTCTCTAATGTAAATAGACGTTCCTTTAGACTTGAAGTTGGAGTTCTTTTGTCCTGCTACTTGTGTGTGGGCCAAGGTGTGTCTTATTGCCATGAGGGAATCTGTAAGAAATGAGTTATAGGAAAGAACTTAATGTCTTCTTCTGCCACTGAGCAGTTTAAGGGTATTGGTCGCCTGCGCCTTTCTGGCCCACTGCGCATTCGTGGCGCTGGAATGCTCACGGATGAGTGGCTGGTTTTCTCCTCCTCAAACCTTGCTAAGCAGCCATGCTGCTTTTACCATGTTGTTCTTCCTGTGCGATGTGCACTTGGCCATGTCTAAATTGCCACTGGCCTTCTGTTCGTTTGTTCTTTCCTTCACGGTGGTCTAAAGAACAGCATACTAGATCCAGCCCTACGCTGCAGGGGGTGGGGTGGCCTATCTTCTCTTGGCAGCAGTCCCCATTGTGCTGCATGGACTTTGAAAAACAGTTTGTGGACCACTTTGCGGAACAGCATGCTGCTCTTCAAGGAAGAACACAAAATCTAAAACAAACTGGGCATGCTTGAACTCGCATAGGCCTTTTGGAGCTGAATTAGTTGTTTTTAGGGTTCTTTGTGCTTTGGGCAGTTTGAAAACAAATCCCGCAGACATCTGGTTGACCCCAGGATGCTGGACTCGATGGGCCATTGGGCTGCTCCAGCAGGCTATTCCTACATTCTCAAATGGCCGTAAAATTCAGCTCTGCAGGTACAAACACTTGCAACTGCTTCTCAGAGCTTGACCACAGGGTAGAATATCTAGGAGCTTGAAATCATTATGAATTCCGTTGCCTGCCCATGCAATCCTATACATGTCTATTTTGAAGTAAGTTCCACTGAGCTCATTGGGACTTACTTCCAGATAGCTTACAACCCCCGACCCACTTACCACCAGGAGGCATATATATTTTTTCTGGACGCATGACCCAGCTGGCCATTTTTATTTTTATCTTTTGGAAAGCTTGATTTCTGTGGTTCATTTCCCTGTTCAATTGATGGAAAACCACTGAAGCCCAGATGTGGGTTAAGAGCGGAAGCCATTTAAAGGGAAAATGCCAATTTATTATTTTTCCTAGATTTCTATCCATCTCTTCCAGCTAGGTTTAGCAGCTTTTACGATTACATTTAAAATCACTGGGCATGAGGCCCAGTGTACAGGATAGCCCATGATGCTCCAATCTGGATATGGTCCTTAGACATGTTTTTAGTTTTCTACACAGTCTGGAATCTGGGTGCTTTAGCTGTGGAAGCCTGCAATACTTATGCATAACTAGAAACAAAAGAACCTAAAATATGGACATTCAGGTCCTCTTCTAAACACAGTCTCTGACCTTAGTGATTCCAGTACTCTCGTGTGTGAGAGAGAAACGTATATGAATAATTATTGCATTTTTGGTTTGGGGTGTGCAGCTGAGTGGTGCCTCCTGCTTGAAACCTGCAAAGCTGGCTTTTCAGCAAAGGCCAAAATGGTTGCTTGAAAGTTTATCAAGATAGGTTCAGATCATACATGTGTCAGTAGCTGCAATTCAACAGCTGCTTACATCTACATTAGATGAGGATCATGTCCATCGGCTTGTTCTGGCAAGCTGAGCAAAATGAGTCTTTCTTTTGCAATTATATCCAAGCAAAAAGCGTTTGATACCAATACCAGCTTGTGAAAGTGATGTGTTCTGTCATTGCTGCAGGCGCTGGAAATTGGAAAAACAATTTCAGGACTGGTTCCTGGGGACCAAATGTTGACAAAGAGCAGCCTTGCCTTTGGCATAAAGCTTTTCAAGTTGTCAGGGCCCAAGCAGCTCTTCAGAGAATAAAATCGCATTATAAATCCAAGTCAATGATAAATAAGTTTTGCTGAGATTTAATTTACTTCTAATTTAAATCCTGACATGGCTTATTTATCACTGGCTTGGACTAACATTTTTGGAAGAGAGTGTGGATGTCCCTAATATGAAACCCATTAATAAAGTGATGCTATTGGGTTGCTTAATATTGGCCAAATCTGGGGTCTTTATTTTAGAAGCAGTGGCATCTTGGGCTGCTTTTGCAAAGCAGACTCCTAAATGCCCAGTAGCTGCCTTGATTTCATTCCTTCTCATTAGTATGTAGATGGAAGTTGTGGACATTTCTAATCTCAAAAGAGGTCACAGCCCATGTAGTTGCACTGTGTCGGCTTTGCCACTGATTTCCCCTACCTTAGCCTACCTTTCTGTACTGCTGTTGGGGTGGGAGGAGCACCCAGAAAAACCTGCCTTAATGCTTTTATTTTATTTTTTAAAAATCTATATTTATTGGCTTTTAAAAACTTTAAAAAATAACCGTAACTGAAAAAAAGCTGACTGTGTGTGAAATGTCTCCCTGTGTGGCTCCAACTGATGCTGCTCCGTGACCTTTCCCCCTTCTTCCTCTTGCCTTTTCTCCTGCATTTCCTCCCTCCTTATGTCTACGCAATTTTGCCTCCTTTTTCTTCACCTTGTGCTCAAGCTGCCATCGCTCCCACCTCCGTCTGCTCCCAAAGGCAATCCCTTCCCTTCGGCTTCCTCTCCTCCACTCCGTTTTTCCTCCCTTGTGTGTGTGTGGGGGGGGGCCTCTGGCAAGATTTTACCAGAAATGAGCGCCAATTCTGGTGCTGCTTATATTCTGGCAGCAGGGGGCGCCTGCAGGGGTTCTGTGGGGGGGGGTCTTCACACCCCCTCTCCGCTGCCAAGACCACAGCAGTGCGCAACGTTAGCCCTTCTGCTCCGCCTTTTCCAGGGGCTGTTTTCCATCCTCCCGTTTCCGTTTTCCTCATTGTTCTGCCTCCTTTTGTTCTTTGGTGCCTCCTCTTCCTCATGAGAAGCTGCAGATCTCTTTGTCCTTGGCATTTCTGCCTCTTTCGCCACAGAAACTGAGAAGCACGCGGGAAGGACACCCCCATCTCCCAGGAGAGCTTCCAGCAAGGGGCTCCTGTTAGCTGCTGCATGTTTCTCAGGCTGGATTTTTTAATAGATAATCAGGAACACTTTGAGAGTCAAGTTCCATTGCAAGCTTCTGGCTCAATAGGTAAATCAAGGTGTTCACAACAACTTGGGAGTAATGATTCCAAAATGAGACAGATGCATTTTGGCCCAAAGCCCTCTGAGCATGATAGAGAGAAGCCCTAAGATCACAGCATTGTAGGACAGGAGGCCAAGGCTCATCTAGTACAACCTCCTGAAGTGCAGGAATCTCAACACATGGTTCCCTATCCAGTTTGAAACCAGACCAGACCCTGCTTGGCTTCGCAAATGTCCTGGCAGGTTTATTGCTGCCCTGCTCCATCACTGAGCTCCGAGTCAGACCTTTAGCTGAATGCACAGAGGAACCTCTCTGGTCCCAGGTCCTTGAGGATGGTGTGCTCAGCTGCCTTCGGAGGTAAGGAGAGACGTTTCCTATAGTGCTTGAGGGGACCAGCCCTGCTTTGTAGATACAGCACGTATGTAGTAATCTTCGGGGAGGGGGAGAGTAATACTACTAAACTACTAGTAGAATGTGAACCTGCTTGAGCCCATATCAGAAGTCTGCCAGACTTTTTGTGTAGGAATCCAGAATCTTGTTATGTGTTGGTATGACGGACCAGTGACCTGACAAATGCTGTCAAATTGCTTGAACTTTTCCCCCTTTTGTTTTTCCTTAATTTGTGGAGCTGAATTAACAGCTTTCACAACTAAGATTCTGTTCACCTTTCTACCTTGTTCTGAATCTTCAATCTGCTTAATATTTTCAGTTGTGCTACCTTGGTTTGAAAATGCCGGACTCTTTTTACAAATCACCTCTTAACTGATGAATGCTTTTTAAACCTGCTTTATTTTTAGCAAGTTAAGATAGCAAATTAATATTACCTCCCTTCTCTTGGAGTGGAGTTAGTCTCTTTTATGTCTCCATTTGTTTCTGTGTGTACATATATAAATATTAAAAAGGGAGCCTTAATGGGATTTGTTTTCGTAATTTAATATTTTTTGTATTTGCTCTTGCCTATTGGTTTTTAACAAAGTGTTACAGAATTGAGGATGGAATTCTTAGAACCAAAGTTAATACTTAATAAAAATCTTCTACATGCTTGGAATATGCAACTGTGTGGGTGTGTGACCTTGGTCTCCGCTGCATTCAACGCTCTCTTTAGTCACTTCACATTGAATTTTGCCTCTTGCAGGGAATAATGCCAAGGTCACATTGACTGACCTTTCAAATTACTTCCATGGCTATACACATACAAGGTGAAATTGACTGATAAAATTAGTTTGGCAGAGGCCAGTCTCCCAACTTCCTTGCATTTATTAGTCTGGAGCAAAGATTTTTTTACTCTGGATAGTGGAGTCTTAAAAGACGTTTGTTCCTCTTCTTGCCATCACTCAGCAAATATTGCAATGTTGAGCTGCAGCTTCTGTCTGTGTCCTCTGACATCCCAGTGGTCAGCTGAATGCACTTGTTCAGGTGAGATGTCTTTATCTGCAGCCATAAGAATGAAGCATTCCTGTTGCTCCTAAAAGTGAAGTTCAGTTATTGTAAGGCCAGGAAGATGCTGAACAATTGGACACAAAAGGTCTGAGTTGTCAGCCCTGCCTTTATATAAACCATATTATGGTTTCCTAGGACATATTCAAAAAGCTAACTTTGTTCCAAGTATGATATTTTGTTGTGAAACCCTCAGTCTTGACTACCCTGCAGCAGCTTGCATTTGTGTAAAGAAAGCTGTCCCCCTAAGGAGAGTAGGGAAACTTCTAGTATATTTGTTTCCTTGAGGGTTTCCTCCTTTTAGTATAACACATCTAGTGCTGACAAGAAAATTAAAACCCTCAAGGGTAGCCATTTCCAGTTGTGCATGGCAATTTAGATGAAGGTTTTCAGGGAAAGCCCAGCTGCAACTTAAGAGGGCACCCAGGCCACCTCCAAAATCTGCTTTGCTTGTGGTTAAAATTTACTAGGTAAGCCAGAATCCAGGAAAGTGTACTTGCTATTATCAAGTTGCCTTTAACAACATTTCAGTGCTGCCCTTTAAGAAATAATGCAGTGGTGCAGGGATTGCTAGCTTTCAAATGAACAGTGTTTTGCTTCCAACAGTTCCTGCACAGCTTTTAAGACTGGCAGCTTCTGCATAGTTTGACGCCCTCCTAGTTTTAGCCCTGAATTCTGATGGCTTTAAGTCCTGAATTGTCCATTGAGGGGGAGAGTCTTATTTTGTCCATAGCCAGTATTTTCAAATGACATGAAATATTTCACAATGCTAAGTGTGTTCATCACGCAACTGGTTATCTTCAGTTGCCAAGCAACGGGTAAAAGGGTTGTCAGTTTGCAGTCTACAGCAATGGGCAGATGGGGGCCTGGAACTGTTCTTGCCTATTCCTTCCCCTCCTGTAGCAGGAAACGGGACTCCAAATTTGGTTGGCTGTCTTCCATTTGATTGGTGTACTTGAAGGAGAACATCTGAGAACTTCTGCTGCCAACGAGGCTCTGGCTTTTCTGTTACAGGAGAAATGCGCTTTCTGAGCTCCCATCACTCCTCACAAAAGAACACTGGAACCATAGAATCATAGAGTTGGAAGAGACCACAAGGGCCATCGAGTCCAACCCCCTGCCAAGCAGGAAACACCATCAGAGCACTCCTGACATATGGTTGTCAAGCCTCTGCTTAAAGACCTCCAAAGAAGGAGACTCCACCACACTCCTTGGCAGCAAATTCCACTGTCGAACAGCTCTTACTGTCAGGAAGTTCTTCCTAATGTTTAGGTGGAATCTTCTTTCTTGTAGTTTGGATCCATTGCTCCGTGTCCGCTTCTCTGGAGCAGCAGAAAACAACCTTTCTCCCTCCTCTATGTGACATCCTTTTATATATTTGAACATGGCTATCATATCACCCCTTAACCTCCTCTTCTCCAGGCTAAACATGCCCAGCTCCTTAGCCGTTCCTCATAAGGCATCGTTTCCAGGCCTTTGACCATTTTGGTTGCCCTCCTCTGGACACGTTCCAGTTTGTCAGTGTCCTTCTTGAACTGTGGTGCGCAGAACTGGACACAGTACTCCAGGTGAGGTCTGACCAGAGCAGAATACAGTGGCACTATTACTTCCCTTGATCTAGATGCTATACTCCTATTGATGCAGCCCAGAATTGCATTGGCTTTTTAGCTGCCGCGTCACACTGTTGGCTCATGTCAAGTTTGTGGTCAACCAAGACTCCAAGATCCTTTTCACATGTACTGCTCTCAAGCCAGGTGTCCCCCATCTTGTATTTGTGCCTCTCATTTTTTTGCCCAAGTGCAATACTTTACATTTCTCCCTGTTAAAATTCATCTTGTTTGTTTTGGCCCACTTCTCTATTCTGTTAAGGTCGTTTTGAAGTGTGATCCTGTCCTCTGGGGTGTTAGCCACCCCTCCCAGTTTGGTGTCATCTGCAAATTTGATCAGGATGCCCTTGAGTCCATCATCCAAGTCATTGATAAAGATGTTGAATAAGACCGGGCCCAAGACAGAACCCTGTGGCACCCCACTAGTCACTCTTCTCCGGGATGAAGAGGAACCATTGATGAGCACCCTTTGGGTTCGGTCAGTCAGCCAGTTACAAATCCACTGAGTGGTAGCATAGTCAAGACCGCATTTTACCAGCTTCTTTACAAGAATATCATGGGGCACCTTGTCAAATGCCTTGCTGAAATCAAGGTAGGCTACATCCACTGCGTTCCCTTCATCTACCAGGCTTGTAATTCTGTCAAAAACGAGATCAGGTTAGTCTGACATGACTTATTTTTCAGAAATCCATGCTGACTATTGGTGATCACAGCATTCCTTTCTAGGTGCTCACAGACTGTTTGCTTAATGATCTGCTCCAGAATCTTCCCTGGTATTGATGTCAGACTGACTGGGCGGTAATTATTTGGGTCCTCTCTTTTCCCTTTTTGAAAATAGGGACAACATTTGCCCTCCTCCAGTCTGCCGGGACTTCGCCTGTTCTCCAGGAATTCTCAAAGATGACTGCCAGTGGTTCTGAGATCACATCTGCCAGTTCTTTTAATACTCTTGGATGCAGTTCATCTGGCCCTGGAGACTTAAATACATCTAAACTAGCCAAGTATTCTTGTACTATCTCCTTAGTTATTCTGGGCTGTGTTTCCTCTGTTGAATCATTTGCTCCAAATTCTTCAGGTCGGGCATTGTTTTCTTTATCGGAGAAGACTGAGGCAAAGAAGGCATTGAGGAGTTCAGCCCTTTCTGTGTCCCCATGTTGGGGGGACTGGCTTCATTGCGACCTGATTGGGAGGGGATGAATAACGACTGGCATGGTTTTCCTTGCCTGATCCTTTCCACATGACTAAATGGGTATGCCCTGTTGCAAGCACTCCCTTAGTGACTCCTCTGCCATTCTAGTGCCTTGCTGGCCTCCCCCCAACCCAACGTGGGACCTTCCCTGGCCTTGTTGCAGCCTCAGCTTTATTCCTCTGAGGAATGCGGAGCCTCTTTCCCCTGCTGCTTCCTGCGCATCCTGCTTTCCTTCTGGGCAGACCACCCAGTTTTAAGAAGGATGGTGTAATCCAAGAAATGCCTTGCCTGCTGCTGCTTCAGTTTCAGTGATGGCAGCAATGGCTGCATCGTGTTCCTTGGAGGCCAGCTCTGCTGTCTTCTCCACAGCCCCCCTTCCAGTGCCCCCTCTGCAGCAGCCTCTCAGCGAATCGTAGGTGCTGCTATCTCCTCCCACCTCAAGGGAGGAAATGGCAGAGGCTGCCCCTGGTGTCTCCTGGGCTCTGCACCTACCCAGCAGGATGCCGAGGGGCCCATTTCCCACCCGCAATGGCCCCCTTGTTCCCAAGGTAGCTCTTTGTTCCCAC